TTTAAAAATTTGACTTTGAAATCGAATACATATTTCGAAAGTATGGAGATCATCAACACGTTATGTTTTTAGTTTCAGATTATCAAGATCTATAGATCCCAGAATTTTTTGGAGATTCTTTGGGAATTTTGACCAAAAACTCATTTTTCAATAACTCCCTGTATGATATTTCTCTTGGAGCGCTTTAAAAAATTGCCAAAAAGAGATTATTTTGTTGATTTTATCCTTCAGAATGTGGCGGCTTTATTTTTCTAAAATTTCTCCATTTTTCCAGAACAGCCAAAATAAATTATGTAAATTTTTGGGTTATTTTAAACATTTGACTTTGAAACGGAATGTTCGGAATTTTTTTTTGAAGGCGTCAACACGTTATGTTTTTGGATTCAGTTCACTGTGTCTTAGATGTTTTTTAATTTTAGGCAACTATCAGAAAGTCCAATTTTTCAAAATTTCGAATTTTTGAGAATTATCAAAAGAGTTTTTTTGAAGTTTTTTCGGGCTCTATTTCTTTCGAAATTGCTACCATTTTTAAAGAATAGGCAAAATTAAAAATGGCAATTTTGGGTACATTTAAAAATTGAACTTATGTTTTTTAATTCGGTTCGCCGATATCTATTAAACCTCAGAATTATTTGTGAATTTTTAGACAACTTCGCCAAACGTAAATTTTTCAGTATCCCTCGTAATGAAATTTTTTACCTTCCACCGAATACCGTCGAAAATTACCAGAGGAGAATCCTGTGTTGATTTCGACCTACATACCTTTTTCCGATTTCATCAAAATAAATTATGGCAATTTTTAAAAATTTGACTTTGAAACCGAATTTGTATTTCGAAAATCTTAATCGGAGGTCATCAACACGTTTTGTTTTTCGATTCAGCTCGTCGCTTAGAATTTTTTATGAATTTTTAAACAACTTTGCCAAAAGTCCAATCTTCAAAATTGGAAAAGAATTCAAATGAAAATGTTTATCTATTCCCAAACACTTTCGAAAATTACCAGAAGAGACCTTTTTGTTAATTTCGCCCTCTAGAAGATTTTTCTAGTTCATTTTTTATAAAAAAGTTTCTACCAAAGTTAAAAATGGCAATTTTTTGTACCTGCCTTCAAAAACTGGAATATTTAAAAAAATTCTGAACCGAAGCCGTCAGTACAATATGTTTTTTGATTCAGGTCGACGAAATCTATAGTCCAGAATTATTTGTGAATTTTTAGGCAACTTCACCAAAAATTCAGTTCTTCAATAACCGCCTGTATGAAATTTTTCATTAAAAATTGCCAAAAGAGATTCGCTGTTCATTTCAACCTCTAGAAGTTTTTTCGACTTCATTCTTTCGAAAGTTCGTACTGCTTTTCCAGAATGGCCAAAACGACATTAAAAAATGTTTGTGATATTTTAAAAATTTTACTTTGAAATCGAAAATTTTGAAAATCTTAATCGGGGATCATCAACAAGTTATGTGTTTCGATTCAACTCATCAAGATCATACCAAAGAAATTTTTACGGATTCTTTGGCAATTTCACCAAAAACTCAATTTTCCAGTAACTCCCTGTATTTTTGACCTTTCCTAGAGCAATTTAAAAAGTTGCCAAAAAGAGATTCTTTTGTTGATTCCAACCTTTAGAAAGCTTTTCGACTTTATTTTACGAAAGTTTCTCCATTTTTTTGATTTTGACTAGGAGTTTTTTCAGTTTCATTTCTTCGAAAATTCCCACTATCTTTCCAGAGCAGCCAAAATAACATAAATCAATTTTTGGGATATTTTAAAAATCCTACTTAGAAGTCGAACATTTCGAAAATCTTGATCGGAGATCATCAACACGTTATGTTTTTCTATTCAGCTAGCAGATATCTAAATCTTAGACTTTTTTTCCAGATTTTTTGACAATTTGGCCAAAAGCTCAATTGTTCAATAATATGAAATTTTTGACAATGCCCCGAGAACTATCGAAAATTGCCAAAAACAGATTTTTTCGTTTTTTCCGCTATATTTTTCAAAAATTTGTATCATTTTCCAGAATAATAAAAATTAATTATTGTATATCTTCAGAATATTTTAAAAATCAGACTTCGAAATCAAAAACATATTTCGAAAATCTTGATTTTTTATGAATTTTTAATCAATTTGCCAAAAGTCCAAACTTCAAGTTGGAACGAATTTCAAATGAAAATTTTTACTTTTTCCCAAACACTTTCGAAAATTACCATATTTTGTTGATTTCGACTCCAGAAGATTTTTCTGGTTCATTTCTTCTAAAAAAGTTCCTACAAAAGTTAAACATGGCAATTTTTAGTATCTATCTTCAAACAGGAAAATTGACAAAAAAGATGCTGCTGTTAATGTCAACCTCTAAAATTTTTTTCGACTTCATTCCTTCGAAAATTTTTACTATTTTTCTAGAATCCCCAAAACGATATAAATAAATGTTTGTGATATTTTAAAAATTTTACTTTGAAATCGAAAATTTTGAAAATCTTAATCGGGAGTCATCAATAAGTTACTTTTTTCGATTCAGCTCATCAAGATCATATCACAGAATTTTTTATAGATTCTTTGGCAGTTTCACCAAAACCTCAATTTTCCAGCAACTCCCTGTATTTTTGGCTTTTCCTAGAAGACTTTAACAGTTATCAAAAAGATATATTTTTGTTGATTTCTACCTCTAGAGGGCTTTTGGCTTTATTTTACGAAAATTTCTCCATCTCCAAAATAACCAAAATAATTTATGTAAATTTTTTGAAACCGAATATTTCGAAAATCTTTATTTGGAACCGTCAGCACGTTATGTTTTTGAATTCAACTAATTGCCATCTGTTTCTCAATTTTTTCTTTTAGGTAACTTTGTCAAAAGTCCAATTTTTCAAAACCCCTACATTTGAAATTTTTGCTCTTTCTCCGAACGTCTTCGAAAATTACCAGAAGAGATTTTTTGTTGATTTCGACCTCTAGAAGTTGTTTCGGTTTCATTTCTTCGAAAATTGCTACCATTTTTCCAGAATAGCCAAAATTAAAAATGGCAATTTTTGGTATATTTAAAAATTGGACTTTAAAACCGAATATTTAGAAAATCACATAACTTGTTTTAAGAAATTTTTGACTTTTGACCCGCAGCACTTCCGGTAATTGTCAAAAGATTTAAATATATAAATGACATAAATCAATTTTTGGGATATTTTGACAACTCTGCTTAGAAGTCGAATATTTCAAAAATCTTGATCGGAGAATATCAACACGTTATGTTGTTCTATTCAGCTCGCAGAGATCCAAAGCTTAGAATTATTTGCAGATTTTTTGGCAATTCCGCCAAAAGCTCAATTGTTCAATAACCCCGTGTATGAAATTTTTGACAATTCCCGAGAACTTTCGAAAATTGCTAAACACAGATTCTTTTGTTTTTTCGGCTTTATTTTTCGAAAATTTCTACCACTTTTCCAGAATAATGAAAATAAATTATGTACATCTTTAGAATATTTTCAAAATCTGACTTTGAAATCAAATATTTCGAAAATTAATTTTTAATCAACTTTGCCAAAAGTCCAAATTTTAAAATTGGGAAAAATTTCTTTTCTCAATTCAAACATGACCAGAAGAGATTTTTTTTTGGATTTCGACCTCCAGAAGGTTTTTTGAGTTCGTTTTTTCTAAAAAAGTTCCTACTAAAATTAAAAATGGCAATTTTTGGTACTTGTCTTCAAAAACTGGACTTTGAAATTTAATATTTAGAAAATCCTGAACCGAAGCCGTCAGTACTATATTTATGTTTTTTTTTTTATTCAGGTAGCTGAAATCTATATTCCACAATTATTTGTGAATTTTTGCCAAAAGCTCAATTTTTCAATAACCAACTGTATAAAATTTTTGACCTTTCGAAAAGTGACAAAAAAGATTTTGCTCTTCATTTCAACCTCTATAAGTTTTTCGGCTTCATTCCTTCGAAAATTCTTACTAGTTTTCTAGAATCGCTAAAACGATAGAAATAAATGTTTGGGATATTTTAAAAATTTGACTTTGAAATAGAATATTTCTAAAATATTGATTGTTATGTTTTCCGTTTCTGATCATCAAGATCCTAGAACTTTTTGCAGATTCTTTGGCAGTTTCTCCAAAAAGTCATTTTTCAATAACTCCATAGATGATATTTTCCTGGAGGACTTTAAAAAATTGCCAAAAAATATTCTTTTTGTTAATTTCAACCTCTAGAAGGTTTCTCGGCTTTATTTTTCGAAAATTTCTCCATTTTTCTAGAAAAACTAAAATAAATTTTGTACATTTTTTGGTTATTTTGAACATTTGATTTTAATGTCCAGTATTTCAAAAATCTTGATTTGGAAGCGTCAACACGTTATGTTTTTGGATTCAGCTCGTTGTAATCTATGTCCCATTTTTTTTTTTTTAATTTTGGCAACTGTCAGGGTACAATTTAAAAATTGTACTTTGAAACCGAATATTTAGAAAATCTTGATAGGTTATGTTTTTTGATGCGGTTCTCCGAATTCTACTAAACCTCGGAACTATTTGTGAATTTTTAGACAACTTCATCCAAAGTAAATTTTTCAATATACTTTCTAATGAAATTTTTTACCTTTCCCGAATACCTCCGAAAATTACCAGAGTCTTTTATTGGTTTCGACCTACAGGAGTTGTTTTCGGATTCATTCTTTCGAAAATTCGTATCATTTTTCCAAAATAGACAAAATCAATTATGGCACTTTTGAAATCGGACTTTGAAACCGAATTTTTAGAAAATCTTGCGATTTTTGTAATATGGTTATTTCTCACCACAACTAAGCTGTCATTGACCGCGGGTCGCACTTCACCCACTCGACCCTATATGGTAACGTCGGGCCTGGATAACCGCGTAACGAGCCTGAACTCCACTCGCCTCAGTAAAATAACAATCCATGTGAAACCTACCACAAATCTCTAAAAAATCCAATCTCCTCAACTTTTCGTCCGCTTCATCCACTTCCACGTACTCATTAACCACTATTTCCAGTAAACCCAACGGAAGGACAACTCACCCACTTTCCCTATGCTTAGATGAGAAAAATCCCTGGGCAACTTACGTGAGGGGTTGTCCAGGGAGACAAAAGCCGTGACACATGTCATCAAATCCGCAAAAACATGCCAAATAATGCCGGAACCTCCTGAAAAATTAAGTCCAGCCATCATGGTCTCACCGCTGGTCGCCAGTGCACCATCTTCGCCCAAACATGCGATGACAGCAGAAGCTTCCTCCGATGTTATGAAAAGATCCAGTAGTTGCATCGAGAACAAGTACAAGTGCACGATCACCTCGGAACGGCTAAGTCGTCTAAGAAAAATCGTCGAAACTGCCGTTAAAGAACATAAAGTGTTCACGATAAAAGGTAAGACTGGAAATGTCTGTATGTAGGCGCTTTACGGAGTGCAGTGGATGTTGTTAAGTCCGTAGTTTAAACGTTGTTTTGCCATGCTGACACCGCTATGAAAGGTATGATGGGATTCGTAATAGCAAATTGGATTTTATGGGAGCTCTGGTTCATACGCAGTGTTATAATGGTTACAAATTAAGTTGCTACGAGCGAGGATCACCGGAAAACTTCCGGAGTTATAATTTCGTGATTAGGATGTGTTAAAGTTCAGCCGGATTTATTTTATTGGGTGGCCTCCCAGGCTCCTCTTCGTAATTCCAAAATCAGCCTCCATGTTCAGTTTTTAGTTTTAATTATGTTGGTTTTTCTTTCTTAGAAAAAATCGAAACTGAAGAATGCATACATTTTTTGTGAAATCATAATATATAAGTTGAAATCTTGCCCATTGCTTGAGTACATACCATTCAGGATGTTTTTAGACAAAGGTAGGCTATGTAAATCTAGTAGAGTGGTTGGTAACCAATTTCATATACAGGTCGCTCAAAAATATGGAAGCAGTTGAATATCACTAGAACGGTTTGTTGAAACTTCTTGAAATTTGGGTTGTCCCTAGGAATACTCAAGTTCTATTTTCTGCATTTTTTTTAAATTTTATACTTTATAGCGTAAGTGTCTGTCTGTCAGTCCGCCTGTCCGTCTGTCGGTCCACCTGTCTGTCTGTCCGATTATTGATTTAATCAGGAACTGCAAAACCAAATGCTTTGAAATATTGGAAATGTTTTAAAGTTATCATAACCAAAGTAAATTTTTCATCAAAATATTTTTGCTCATCCCCCCTAAAAATTGATGACGTCACCTCAAAATATTGCTGAATAAATCCCATCTTAAATGTGCAAAATATAATGAATTTATATTTGTGACTTATCACTGCATTAATATTTTTTAGATTTGCTTATACAAGGTGACTCAAAAAAATAATGAATCAGTCAATTTATTTTATTGAGTAAATCGAGAATTGCAAAGCTGAATGCCATGGTAAAATGTTAATCAAAATATATCTGTTTATTCCCCCCAAAAAATTAATGACGTCATCTCGAAAATATTTGGGAATACAATGCTGTTATGCAAAAATATTGATGCCGTTATCACAACATTGTGTAAAGAAAAAACTCAACTCGAAAATGCTGAATATGTTTCATTGTAATTCAGGAGTGAGGGAAGTTCTGTCGAAAGAACTTTCGACCAATTTTTTTTTCACAATATTTGAATTTATTTTCATTTATTAAGTCTTGGGAATTACTTTCATTTTCCAAATCTTTGATATTCCAAATCGTTGGAATGTTACTTTCCTTTGTCAAATAGGCAGTGTATTTCATAATTTTAATTTTTAATTTTTGAACTATTTCGATTTTGGATTTTCAAATTTTCAGAAAGTGCAGAATTTTTTGGAAGTTCCAATTTTCCTTAATATATTTAGAACATTTGAAATATTTAGTATCTTTTTTAGTCTTTTTGGAATTATTTTTATTTTTGAAATCTTAGAAATTAATTTAATGTGCAACAGTAGCGTACTTTAGAATTTTAGACATTTTCGAAATTGTTTTGGTAATTTTTGGACTATTCCGAACTTTTGACTATTCAAATTTTCAGAAAGTGCAGTTTTTCAACTTCAAAATTTCTTTATCGTTTGCAACCTTCAAAATATGAACCCTTTTAGTATTTTTTATTAATTTTTACTTCCCGAGCGTAAGCGAAAAAAGTATTGTAATCGAATCCGTCGGCCGACTCTCTAGCTTTACGTTTTCTCGACCTTTCATGTCCTCTAGAGCACGAAAGAACAGTCTCCCGTTTTCGTCTGTCTGTCCGTCTGTCCGTCTGTCTGTCTGTCTGTCTGCCGTCCCGGATTGTTATTACACAGATAATCTCCGAAAGTACTGGGTCGATTGTTGTCAAATTTTGTATTTATATTAGGAATATCATGTAGATGGTAAAAATCTCACCAAAATTTGTCTAATCATCCCCACCAATAATGTGATGACGTCACTTCAAAATCATATATAGTAAATGGGTTTTAAATTGTATAAAATAACGTAGTCCTGCACATGTAGTTTATCACTCCGTTTTGAGTTTTTCCAGAAACGTCCAGATTTTTGGAAAAAAAATAAAACAACATTTTGCAATTTAATTTTGAATTTGCAAAACCGAATGCTTTGAAATCTTGCAAATATCTGAAAGTTATGATAAACATAATAAATTTTTAATCAAAATATAAAAAAATTGATGACGTCAGCTCAAAATTTTGCCGAATCTAGAATGTCCAAAAGATAATGAAATGAGTCTATACTTGTGATTTATCATTAGATTCATATTTGTTGGATTTGCTTATACAGGGTGGCGCAAAAAAATATGAATGCGTGAATTTATTTTATTGTTTTAATCAGGAACTGCAAAACCGAATGCTTTGAAATCTTGGAAATGTTTTAAGGTTATCATAAGCAAGGTAAATTTTTCATCAAAATGCTTTTGCTCATCCTCCCTAAAATATTGATGACGTCACCACAAAATATTGCTAACTATTTCCCTCAGAAAATTTCGTCCAATAAAATTGTGAGAAAAATCAAATTATGACAAATCATAGGCGAATTACGTGAACATTTTTTTAGTCAAAAACTTATGATCGATAAGTTTCCTGCATCAATCAACCAATGATCGCTGAGTATCAAGCGAACATTTCCCGGCATGGACCAATGAAAACACATTATTTTGTTAAATTTATTATATTTTTGCTGACTAGTTTGTTGTGATGACGACGAAAATACGGATAGAGCGATTTTGGTGTTTAATTATGAGTGTTTGCAATTTTATTTATTAAAAATTAGCATAAGCCCAAAAAATGAAATTTTCTGTTTTTTTTTTCAATTGACGAAAAATTGTCGCCAAGTTTTCTCGGTCTCGGGATCTTACTATTGATTATACGCTATCTTAAATGTGCAAAATATGATGATTCTATACTTATGATATATCACTGCATTAATATTTTTTAGATTTACTTAAACTGGGTGTCTCAAAAAAAATTATATTGAATAAATCAAGAATTGCAAAAGTGAATACTTCGAAATCTTGCAGATGTTTTAAAGTTATTGTAGGCATGTAACCAAATCTATCTGTTTATTCCCTCCAAGAAATTGATGACGTCGTCTCAAAATTTTGCCGAATAAATCCTACCCAAAATGTGCAAAATATGATGAGTTTTTACTTGTGATTTATCATTGCATTCATATTTTTTAGATTTACTCTCTATTTTCTCAGAGGATATGTCATTTGCCAAAATTAGTCTTATCTTAGCAAGGACTAGCCCCGCCCACCCGCCCTCTGTTTTCTTAGAGGATTATGTCATTTGCCAAAATCAGTCTTATCTTAGCAAATACTAGCATTTTGGTAAATGACACACCTTTAAAGAAAATAGAGGGCTGGTGACCGGGCTTATTGCTTGGCTAAAATAAGATTTATTTTGGCAAATGACATATCCTCTGATAAAATAGAGGGCGGGTGGGCGGGGCTAGTACTTGCTAAGATAAGACTGATTTAAAAGGTGTTAAATTGCAAATTTCCATAGTAACGAGTTAAATTCCTAAATCTTATTGGGTGTTTATTTTTTGTTTCATTCTAGTTCGGGAGCGAGGGAACTTGTGTTGAAACAACTTTTTTTTCACATAATTTGAATTTATTTTCATTATTAAGCCTTAGGAATTACGTTAATTTTCAAAATCGTTGATATTCCAAATCGTTGAAATGTTACTTTCCTCTGTCAAACAGGCTGTGTATTTTATAGTTTTCATTATTAATTTTTGAACTGTTTCGATTTTGGGTTTTCAAATTTTCAGAAATTGCAGAATTTTTTGGAAGTTCCAATTTTCTTTAATATATTTAGAACATTTGAAATATTTAGGTATTTTTTTTAGTTTTTTTGGAATTATGTATTTTTATTTTTGAAATCTTAGAAATTAATTTAATTTTCAAGAACAGCGTACTTTAGAATTTTCGACATTTTCGAAATTGTTTTGGTAATTTTTGGACTATTCCAAACTTTTGACTATTCAAATTTTCCGGAAGTGCAGTTTTTCAAGTTCAAAATTTCTTTAGCGTTTGTAACCTTCAAAATATGAAGCCTTTTAGTATTTTTTATTAGTTTTTACTTCCCGAGCGTAAGCGAAGACAGTATTGTAGTCCAGTCTGTCGGCGGACTCTCTACTTTTACGTTTTCTCGACCTTTCATGACCCCTACAGTACGAAGGAACAGGTCTCCCGTTTCCGTCTGTCTGTCCGTCTGTCCGTCTGTCTGCCGTCCCGGATTGTTATTAGACAGATAATTTCCGAAAGTACTGGGCCGATTGTTGTCAAATTTTGTATTTATATTAAGAATATCATGTAGATGGTATTTTGCAATTTATCTTGCAAATATTTTAAAGTTATGATAAGCATAATAAATTTTTAATCAAAATATATTTACTTAACCCCTCCAAAAAAATTGATGATGTCAATTCAAAATTTTGCCGAATCTAAAATGTCCAAAATATAATTAATCTATACTTGTGATTTATCATTCGATTCATATTTGTTGGATTTGCTTATACAGGGTGAGTCAAAAAAATTTATGAATGCGTGAATTTGTTTGATTCATTTAATCAGGAACTGTAAAATCGAATGCTTTGAAATCTTGGAAATGTTTTAAGGTTATTATAAGCAAGATAAATTTTTCATCAAAATGTTTTTGCTCATCCCCCCTAAAATTGATGACGTCATCTCAAAATATTGCTGAATGAATTCTACCCAAAATGTGCAAAATATGATGAGGTTTTACTTGTGATTTATTATTGCATTCATATATTTTAGATTTGCCCTCTATTTTCTCAGAGGACATGTCATTTGGCAAAATTAGTCTTATCTTAGCAAGGACTAGCCCCGTCCACCCGCCCTCTATTTTCTTAGAGGGTATGGCATTTGCCAAAATTAGTCTTATCTTAGAAAGGACTAGCCCCGCCCACCCACCCCATATTTTCTCACAGGAATATATCATCTCCCAAAATCAGTCTTGTCTTAGCAAGGACTAGCCCCGCCCACCCACCCCCTATTTTTTCACAGGATTATGTCATTTGGCAAAAGCAGTCTTATCTTAGCAAATACTAGCATTTTGGTAAATGACATACCTTTAAAGAAAATAGAGGGCGGGTGACCGGGCCTATTACTTGGCTAAGATAAGATTTATTTTGGCAAATGACATATCCTCTGAGAAAATAGGGGGTGGGTGGGCGGGGCTAGTACTTGCTAAGATAAGACTTATTTTGGCAATTAACATACCTTATGAAAAAATAGGGGGCGGGTGGGAGGGCCTAGTACTTGCTAAGATAAGACTGATTTAAAAGGTGTTAAATTGCAAATTTCCATAGTAACGACTTAAATTCCTAAATCTGATTGAGTGTTTATTATTTATGTTTTATTCTACTTCAGGAGCGAGGGAAGTTCTGTTGAAACAACTTTCGACCAATTTTTTTAAATAGCACTAGTACTCAAATATCTTTAAATAGTGCATTTTTTTCTGAATTTAGAAATGTAATGCATGCATTATTTTATTTTTACCAACATAACAAAACAAATTGTCAAAATAAAAATACTGAAAATTAGAAAATCGTACCCAATCATTGAAAAAATGACAGAACTGAGGGTACATAAACTGAAATAAAGTGCCAGCGTAACAGACTGATTTAAATACTGTTTCCAAATAATTTTCAAAATGTTCTAGAAATAACAATATTACGATTTAATGATTGTCAATAGTGAGCACATTGTTTTGAAAGCTTTTTGAAAAATTTAATTAAAAAATTACATTATTGAAAAAATCTGGTAGAATATTAGGAGGAATGTTAACAATCGCATTTAATATACTTTCTTGGAGTTCTTTGATGCTTTGTGTCTATTAACATAAACTCGGTTTTTACATAACCCCACAGAAAAAAGTCAAATGGGGTTAAATCGGGTGACCTAGCTGGCCACTCAACTGCTCTCCGTCGTCCTTCCAAAAAGTTGTCATCCTGATCAAGTGAATCAGTTTATCCAACATGAAGAAAAAATTTCATGGCTCGCTTTTGTCTAAAAACATCCTGAAACAATGACTAACCACCAAGCCTACCAACACGAAAAAGCCATAAAACACTGACGAACATTTTTTAGCACGAAGGTCAAGCACTTATTTGTTTTTCAGCGCACCGAATTATCTATAAAATTACGAAATAAGTGTTTACAATTATCGAACTATTGTACAGAATTATTAGGTAATATTTGATGGGCTATAAATGTAATAATAGACCCAATGGTTACGACCCATCGTAACGTTGTTAACTCTTTGAAACTTAATTATCGATTTTTTAATTTTATCACCACTTACTTTTTATTATTACAGTTTACAAACATATAGTTATTGATACTTTCAACCCAACTACATGTACTTCCAGGTGGCTGGCCAGTAATCAGAAGAGAACTCCTCAAACGCAACTGGATCGAAAAATACGAACCAACAATCACTAAAGCCAAGTCGTCTACAGCCCCAAACAACGACGACCTAATCAGCAACCTCCCGGTCAAACACGACTGGGAATCCCCCACTGCCTACACCGAAAAATGTGAGAAAACAATCATGTCCCGCATGCTTCAAAATTTCGACGTGGACTTCTACTGGAGCATGCGGAAAGACCAATCGGATCTCCTACATCGTTCCAGCAGCTACAAGCTGATGAATCGGTTCAGCAAGTCGCTCTTTGCATCTAAAGAAGGCCTGGCACTGTTACTGCAACAACATTATTGGTACAGCGAACCGGGAGTCTCCTGCGTCAATTTCCCTCGCTGCTACGTACTAGGTCCGTTTTCGGAAAACGAATCTCAAAAACTTTAACCCGCTGTGAAAATTTCAGGCTTTCCGGACCACTTCAACCACTTCGTCGAAGATTTTCGCTTGACCGCCTGTGTGGGACTCTTAAAGTGGCTCATACACACGTACGACACGGAAAACAAATTTGGAATACAATCGCCGGAAGGTCAAGTACCACTAAGTTCGTTGCAGTTTGCTGTAGATAGATGTGCGGAGTTCATCGAGGTGCAAAAACACATGGATATTGATAAGGAGTACCAGAGGGTTTGGGACCACGAGTGGGACCAATTTTTGACGCATTATTACTCGGTTATGCATAAAAATGCGTTGTTTGATACTTCAGTCGATCACCCTTTGACCATGTATTATATCAAATCGAAAAACATCCTGAACGACCTGCAAAAGTACTGGCCGGAGTACAACATGGACGGGTGGAAGAACGTCTGGATTTTGAAGCCGGGCAACAAGTGCAGAGGGAGGGGGATTCAGCTGATCAAGACAATCTCGGATGTGGAAAAGGTTATGAATTTGAAACTGAAGTACGTGGTACAAAAGTACATTGGTAAGTTTTGTAATTATTGAGCTTAGATCGTGACCCGTCAAAATAGCTCGGTACGAAATTTTTGTTGACGAATATTTTGTCTCTTTATTTCGCCACCGAAAATGTCAGCCACTGATTTCCGTCTGTCTATCTGTTGGAGATTTGTTAGACAGATACTTAATATCCGAAATTATTGCACTGACAGCTGTGATACCATCATTTCAAGTAATTTTTAATTAAATATTTATTAAAAAATATACTTTGTTGCCATACAGATGTAAAAAAAAACAGTTTTCCTGTGTACAAGATGAACGTTTAACCTTAACCACTTATTTAAAATTTTGGTTCTTTTCTTCTTTCAACTCTGAATATTTTTACCTAGACACAAATAACTACTTTTTTACTTCCCGAGCGCAAGCTAAGGAAGTATAGTAATCGAGTCCATCGGACGAATGGCTCCCCCGTTTCCGTCTGTCTGTCTGTCTGTCTGTCTGTCTGTCTAGTGTCTGTATCCATTTTTATTAGACATGTAATCTCCGAAACTGCTGGACCGATTATTGTCAAATTTTGTATAAATTTTAGAAATATCATGTAAATGGTTAATTGTTAAGAATTCTACGTTTATTTTGATTTAACTGTTGTACTACAATATAGTCCTATAATACGATTTTTTGCAAAAACTTAACGCATGGTGTAGTAACAGTTCACCATTAGCGTAAGGCATCCTGGCGATGGTTTAGTGGTTACGAGTCAGCAAGGCCTTTCATGACCCCTAGAATACAAAAAAAGTAGTCTTCCGTTTCCGTCTGTCTGTCTCCATCCATTTTTTATTAAACTGCTGGATTGTTGTCAAATTTTGTGTGTATGTAGAAATATCATGTATATGGTTAGATGCTAACCAAAATTTGGCTAATTATTCCCACCAACAATTTGATGACGTCATTGCACTTAATGGTATTCTTAAATGATTTAAATGTTACACAAAAATTTACTTATATACTTGTAGTGTACGAATCCAGTTTCAGTTTTTTCGTCAAACGTTCAAATTTTCGCAAAAACATTTGCAAGGTATAATAACGTTTTATTCTCGACGCGGTTTGAACGTCTCCGTGGCGCAGTAGTTCGATGCCGAACTTGACTCTTTCTTTTTTTTTTTCTTGCATTGGTATAGATTAGGTTTTTTAGTATTTTGATGTTTCGAATCTTCGATTTTTCGACTTCTCGGATTTAGGTATTTCGGATTTTTACTACATACTTCGATTTTTGAAATCTTTCATTTTTCAATTTTTTCGGTTTTTAAAGTTCTCGATTTTTTTGTTTTATTTTAAATTTTACAATTTTCAAATTTTAACGTTTCGATTTCGATTTTGAGCAATTTCGATTTTTGGATCTTTTGATGTTTCGATTTCTCGATGTTCCAATTTTTGAGGTTTTCGATGTTTCGACTTTTTGGCTTTTCAATTTTTCGATTTCCCAATTTTTCGAAAAGAAATGTGTTTTGGAATTTTTCAATTTTTTTATTCAATCTCTCGATTTTTAGATTTCTCAATTTTCAGTTTTACGATTTTAGAATTTTTTGACGATCGATTTTTTTATTTTTCCATTTCTCGATTTCTCGACTTTTCAATGTATCGATTTTTTTCCTTATGTCGATTTTATAATTTTTCGATTTTCTGATGTTTGAATCCCCCGATTTTTTGATTTCTCGTTTTTTTCATTTCATCAATATTTCTATTGATTCAATTTTTCGTATTTTGAAAATTTTGACTTTTTGATTTTTCAAGGTTTCAGTTTTTTTACATTTTTCGATTTTTCAGTTTTTGGATTTTTTGATTGTTCAAATTCACGATTTTTCTTTTTTTTTCTCTTTTTTTTTAATTTTTCAAATTTTCCAATTTTTAATCTTTCGATTTTTCGACATCTCAATTTTTTATACTTCACGACTTTTCGATTCCTCGATTTCTCGATCTTTCGATGTTTCAGTTTGTCTATGTTCAGTTTTTGAATATTTCGATGTTTCGATTTTTCGGCTTTTTTTCGATTTCCGAATTTTTCGACATGTCACTTTTGGAATTTCCCGATTTTTCTATATTTGACTATTCGATTTTCAGTTCTTCGATATTTTGATTTTTCAATTTTTCGAATTTTAAAATTTTTAATCTTTCAGTTTTTTCTCAATTTTTGATTTTTTAACTTTTACATTTTTCGATTTTTTAAATTTTGGATTTTAGATTTCACGATTCCTCGGGTTTTCGATTTTTAAGTTTTAGATTTTTGAATTTTTCAATGTCCCGACTTTTTGATTTTTCAATTTTTCAATATTCGAAATTTTCGTTTTTATATTTTGGATTTTTTGATTTCTGGTTTCTTCGAGTTTCTGATTTTTCAGTTCTTCGATAGTTCTATTTTTCAATTTTTCGAATTTTCAAATTTTCGATTGTTCAATATCTTGATTTTCAGTTTTTTCTTTCAATTTTTAACGTTTCAACTTCAATTTTGAGCAATTTCGGTTTTTTAATCTTTTGATGTTTCGATTTCTCGAAATTTCAATTTTTGAGGTTTTCTACGTTTAGGTTTTTTAGATTTTCAATGTTTCGATATCCCAATTTTTCGTCAGATGAGTTTTGGAATTTTTCAGTTTTTTTATTCTTCAATCTCTCAATTTTTCAATTTCTCGATTTTTTGATTTCTCAATTTTCAGTTTTACGATTTTAGAATTTTTTGACGATCGATTTTTTTATTTTTCCATTTCTCGATTTCTCGACTTTTCAATGTTTCGATTTCTCAGTTTTTAAATTCTCCCTTTTGTCGATTTTCTAATTTTTCAATTGGTCGATTTTTTGAATTTTTGATTTTTCCACTTTCCGAATTCTCGATTTTTCAATTTTTCGGTGTTTCATTTTTGGGATATTTCAATTTTTCGATGCTTCAATTTTTCTTCTATTTTGGAATTTTTGGATATTTCAGTTTAGGGATTTTCCAATGTATTAATTTTTCTATTTTGTGATTTTTCGATTTCTCGACGTTTTACTTCATCGATTTTTCAATTTTTAAATTTTAAATTTTATAATTTTTCGATTTCTTGATGTTTGAATTCCTCGATTTCTCGATTTCTCGTTTTTTGATTTCAATATTTCTATTGATTCAGTTTTCCGAAATTTTAAATTTTACATTTTTCATTTTTTGATGTTTCAGTTTTTCGATCTTTCAATTTTTTGACTTCTCGGTTTTACGTTTTTTGGTTTTTCAATTTTTCGAATTTTGAAATTTTTGACTTTCTGATTTTTCAAGTTTTTTTTACATTTTTCGATTTTTTGATTTATTGAGATGTCGATGTCCCGATTTTTTGATTGTACAATTTCACGAATTTTCAAGTTTTTTTTTCGATTTTGAACAATTTCGACTTCTCAATTTTTTTATTTTTGTACTTCACGACTTTTCGATTTCTCGATTTCTCGATCTTTTGATGTTTTTGAATTTTTCGATGTTACAATTTTTCGGCTTTCTTTTCGATTTCCGAATTTTTCGTCATGTCAGTTTTGGAATTTCTCGGTTTTTTTATATTTGTATTTTCGATTGTCAGTTCTTCGATATTTCTGTTTTTCAATTTATGGAATTTTTAAATTTTTAATTTTTTAACTTTTTGATTTTCAGTTTTTCGAGTTTTTAACTTTTACATTTTTCAATATTTTAAATTTTGGATTTTCGATTTCACGATTCCTCGGGTTTTCGATTTTTTTACTTTTCCATTTATCAATTTTTCGATTTTTAGGTTTTAGGTTTTTGCATTTTTCAGTGTTTCGACTTTTTGATTTTTCAATTTTTCAATATTTGAAATTTTCGTATTTAGATTTTGGATTTCTTGATTTCTGATTTTCTCGATTTTTAGATTTTTCAGTTCTTCGATATTTCTATTTTTCAAGTTTTTGAATTTTCAAATTTTAACTTTTTCAATTTTTCAATTTTTTGATTTTACTATTTTTTGATGTTTCGATTTTTGATATCTCGGTTTCACGATTTTTAAAATGTTTCGACTTTTCCATTTTCAAATTTCTCGGTTTTCCCACATTTCAATGATGGGAACTTTTCAATGTCTGGATTTTTCAATTTTTCGATTTTTACATTTTTCGGTTTAAAATTTTTTATTAATTCGGTGTCTTGATTTATGGATTTCTCAATATTTCGATTTTTCGAAAAGCATTTTTTCCGAATGATTGGACCCTCAGGCGCCAAGGGAGTTTTGTTGAAATACTTAACCTTCGACTTCGAATTTTTTAAAAATGTTAAAGCTTCTCGAGGGCGTCAAATGTTTTTTTTTAGAATGTGAAACCTTCTCAAGAGTGCCAACTGTCTTTTTTTAAAGAAGGTGAGACCTTCTCAGGTACCCTAAATGTCTTTTTTTATGTGAAATCTTCTCGGGGTCCCAACTGTCTTTATTAAAAATGTAAAACCTTCTCGGTGATCCCAATTGTCTTTTTTAAAAATGTAAAACCTTTTCGAGGGCGTCAATTTTTTTTAGAATCTGAAACCTTCTCTGGAGTCCCAACTATTTTTTTTAAGAAGGTAAAACCTTCTGGGGGCCCCAAATGTGTTTTTTTTAAATGTGAAACCTTCTCGGGAGTTCCAATTGTCTTTCTTAAAAATGTAAAACCTTCTCAGGGATCTCAATTGTCTTTTTTAAAAATATAAAACCTTCTCGGGGGTTTCAACTGTCTTTTTTAAGAAGGTAAAACCTTCTTGGGGGTCCTAAATGTCTTTTTTAATGTGAAACCTCCTCGGGAGTTCCAACTGTGTTTTTTAAAAATGTAAAACCTTCTCGGGGGCCCCAAATGTTTTCTTTTTTAATGTGAAACCTTGTCAGGGGTCCCAACTGTCTTTTAAAAAATGTAAAACCTTCTCGTGGCCGCCAAATGTCTTTTTTTAAGAATGTCAAACCTTCTCGGGAGACCCAACTGTGTTTTAAAAATGTAAAACCTTCTTGGGAGCCCCAAATGTATTTTTTTAAGAATGTGAAACCTTCTCGGGGCTCCCAATTGTTTTTTTTTTAATGTAAATAAAACCTTTTCGGGGTCGTCAAATTTTCTTTTAGGATGTGAAACCTTCTCTGGAGTCTCAACTGTCTTTTTTAAGAAGGTAAAACCTTCTCGGGGGTCCTAAATGTCTTTTTTAATGTGAAACCTTCTCGGGAGTTCCAACTGTCGTTCTTAAAAATGTAAAACCTTCTCGGGGGCCCCAAATGTTTTCTTTTTTAATGTGAAACCTTGTCAGGGGTCCCAACGGTCTTTTTAAAAATGTAAAACCTTCTCGGGGCCGCCAAATGTCTTTTTTTAAGAATGTGAAACCTTCTCGGGGCTCCCAATTGTCTTTTTTAAAATTGTAAAACCTTTTCGGGGTCGTCAAATTTTCTTTTAGGATGTGAAACCTTCTCTGGAGTCCCAACTGTCTTTTTTAAGAAAGTAAAACCTTCTCGGGGGTCCTAAATGGTTTTTTATAAAAATATAAATACTTCTCGGGGTTCCCAACTGTCTTTTTAAAAATGTAAAACCTTCTCGGTGGCCCCAAATGTTTTCTTTTTTAATGTGAAACCTTGTCAGGGGTCCCAACGGTCTTTTTAAAAATGTAAAACCTTCTCGGGGCCGCCAAATGTCTTTTTTTAAGAATGTGAAACCTTCTCGGGGCTCCCAATTGTCTTTTTTAAAATTGTAAAACCTTTTCGGGGTCGTCAAATTTTCTTTTAGGATGTGAAACCTTCTCTGGAGTCCCAACTGTCTTTTGAAAGTAAAACCTTCTCGGAGGTCTCAATTGTCTTTTATAAAAATATAAAGACTTCTCAGGGGTCCCAACTGTCTTTTTAAAAATGTAAAACCTTCTCGGGGGCCCCAAATGTTTTCGTTTTTAATGTGAAACCTTGTCAGGGGTCCCAACTGTCTTTTTAAAAATCTAAAACCTTCTCGGGGCCGCCAAATGTCTTTTTTAAGAATATGAAACCTTCTCGGGAGACCCAACTGTGTTTTAAAAATCTAAAACCTTCTTGGGAGCCCCAAATGTATTTTTTTAAGAATGTGAGATCTTCTCGGGAGTCCCAACTGTCTTTTTTAAGAATGTAAAACCTTCTCGGTGCCCCAAATGTCTTTTTTTAATGTGAAACGTTCTCGGGGGTCCCAAATGTCTTTTATCAAAACGTAAAACCTTCTCGGCGGTCCAAAATGTCTTTTTTTTATGTGAAACCTTGTCAGGGATCCCAACAGTCACTTTTAAAAATATAAAACCTTCTCGGGGCCGCCAAATATCTTTTTTAAGAATGTGAAACCTTCTTTTTTTTAGAATGTGAAACCTTCTCTGGAGTCCCAACTGATTTTTTTTTTAAAGAAGGTAAAACCTTCTCGGGGGCCCCAAATGTGTGTTTTTTTTTAAATGTGAAACCTTCTCGGGGGTCCTAAATGTCTTTTTTAATGTGAAACCTTCTCGGGAGTTGTAACTGTCTTTCTTAGAAATGTAAAACCTTCTCGGGAGTCTCAATTGTCTTTTTTAAAACATAAAACCTTCTCGGGGGCCCCAAATGTCTTTTTTGTAAAACCTTCTCGAGTATCCCAATTGTCTGTTTTAAAAATGTAAAACCTCCTCGAGGGCGTCAAATGTTTATTTTATAATGTGAAACGTTCTCGGGAGTATCAAGGGTCTTTTTTAAAAATGTAAAACCTTCTCGCGGATCCCACTGTCTTTTTTGATAATGTAAAACCTTCTCGGGGGTACCAAACGCCTTTTTTTAAGAATGTGAAACCTTCTCGGGCGTCCCAACTGTCCCTTTTAAAAATGTAAAACCTTCTCGGGGGCGCCCGATGTTTTTTTTTAAATGTGAAACCTTCTCAGGGATTCCAATTGTCTTTTTTTTCCTATTGCACTGTGACCACTACCTTCTGTAATTATTGTTTTTGCTCCATAGAGGTTATAAAAGTAAAATTCCTCAAAATCAAATTTTATAATATTTCAGAGAAGCAGTATTTATTGGAGTGTACTTCAGAAGCGAGGGAAGTTCTGTCGAAATAATTTTCGACCAATGTTTTCTTCAAGTAATTTTCAAACACAGATGCTTTTCAAACGCTCTCTCTTCCCCCATGTCTTCTATCTCTCCTTAATATACACCTATCGCCTTTCAGAGAGGCCCCTTCTGATCCACAAAACCAAATTCGACATCCGCCAGTGGTTCATAGTGTCGAACGTCCAACCTCTCACAATCTGGATGTACCGAGAAAGCTACCTCAGATTCAGCAGCCAAATTTTCTCTTTAGACAACTTCCACGAATCCCTCCATTTAACAAACCACGCTGTTCAGTGTAAATACACAAACGTGGAACAGCGTGACAAAGCCCTACCGCACGACAACATGTGGGACTGTCACACTTTCCAAACCTGGTTAAAGCAAATGGGTGTCAAAGAAAAATGGAACGAAGTCATATTACCAGGGATGCGAGAAGGGATAGTTTGTGCCATGTTGGCCAGTCAGGATGTAATGGACAGAAGACAAAACACTTACGAATTATATGGGGCGGATTTTATGATTTCGGAAGACTACAAACCTTGGTTAATCGAAATTAATTGTAGTCCGGATTTGTCTTCGTCCACTAGTGTCACAAGTCGAATGTGTCCGCAATGTATGGAAGATCTAGTAAAAGGTTGTTTTATTCCACTCGTACTTTGTCTACTTTTGAGTGAACGAGAGAATTTTTGTGGCCCACCTACACTAGGTTTTCGAATCTCTTGATTAATGTCAGTATCCAGTCGTGTAGGTAGGCCACGACTCTGCCTAAAGGTAGACAAAAAGTGCATGCAATAACAGTGTATGTTTTAGTCGTTGTTGATCGAAAAAGAGATCCAACGGCTGAGACAGGTTTGTTCGATCTCGTGTACCGTCAGAACTTGCCCAGGGTGCCGCCCTACCTGGGAATCAACCTCTCCGTCCGAGGTCGAAAAATCTTCAGAAACAAGAACAAGCTAAGACTGCCCCCACGAGAGACCAAGAGCAAGGATTACGAGAACAACGCCCAAATGTGGCTCAACCGCAAGCAAGAGTTCATAAAGAACGACATGAAGAGAAGCTCCACGGCGCCGACGAACTTGCCCAAACTGGGCTCGCCCGGGTACAAGGGCCCGGTGATCGAGGACCTGATTGACGACCTGAGCAAGTCCGTGAAAAGCCCGAAAGTGGCGAAAGTCGAGGTGATCAAAGTAGCAAAATCGGACACGGTGAAGAAAAAGAGCGAAGGCGCCACCAAGCACAAACGTGACAGGGTATCGCGCAAAAGGAGCTCTTCGAAAAGCAAAACTAACAAAAACCATTTTGTCTCTAGAAAGCAACAAAACGCAAAAGAAAACATTAAAGACGACGACGTCAGCGATGACCAAAAAAGTAGCAGTTATTTAGAATTTTTCAACGAGTGGGCGTCGCGGAACAAATCGCAGGATTTCAAGGAAGCCAAAACCCAAAGGGATGTAGGTGTTTGGGAACGCGAAACTGCAAGTATATTGAAGGGTAAAAATATTTTAAGTGGTGCACACAGCGATGATATTGGCAATAAAAATTGCGTTAAGTCGAACGATTGTTTTAATTTAGATGATGGGAATTTACTGCCACATATTAATGCCAATTGCAACAACGTAAATTAAAGTTATTGAGGTTAATGTTCTTAAATTCTATTTCCAGTTATAGCTTTTTCATGATTTAAGATGGCAACTTCGAGTACCTACTTGTCGCTTTAACGATGTTCGAATGTTTCAGCTTTATATTTTATTATGTTGACTGAAAGTTACAATAAAATTTTATTTTTTATAATGTGTCTTAATAAGAGATCAATGCTACTTTATCACGTACTCAGAAGATCGTTCCTACCGTATAAATTGTTACGTGTCATAAACATTAGCTAAGACTTAATAACTGAAAAAAATAAAAAATCCCTATTGTATTGCAGTGTAAATGTGTTTATACCCACTGGTCAATTGTGAGAATCTTCAGGTAAGTACTTTATTTATTTATTGGCTTTCACTCGAATTTTTTAGTTGTAGCTAATATTAGTTAAAACCGGTGTTCCAAGCAAACCTTCTTGGAATCTATCTGTAATTCTCTTACAACCATTGGTTTTAACTAGTTCAAACTAGCGAAAAAAATCAAAAGGTTTTTATATCTTTTTAATGAAAGTCCACAGGAACACTGTTTTTATAACAAAACTTGATTAAAAATGTTATACTTTATTTATTATTCCGTTTATGTTTCTTTTCGCTCTTATCTCTTTTTGAAACACAAAGTAAGAAAATGAGTTCATTATTATGTATTGAAAAGGGAATATATTAATTTTAAATTTATAGAAGTGCTCCACCATACAATCAAATAAATTTGTCGTAAGAGCAATTAAACATATATTTACTGAGTTGCAAAAAATTCTCAAGCTTTTCAGGAGCATTTCCCATAATAAATTAGTATCCTGGATAAGTATATTCTGCCTATTTTAGGCTCAGGTGTTGGTGGGTGGAGTTTGAGAGGGGCAGACCTCAGGATAGACCAGGCTTAAATAGGCGGAGCTTAACTCGATACCTGGGCGGAGTTTGAAGTCTAACCTGGAGCACATTCACTCCACATGTTCTCATAACGCAGAAATTTTATTTTGTGATCTTTATGAGTTACTTTAGTAACCCAATTAACGTCATCTGTTTTAAATTTTTGTTGTGAAAAGATGACTACGTATATTCCGAAAAAGAAGGCAAAATATAAGCCCCGACCACCCACCCTTCCCCAATTCTGATGATTTTTTTTTATTCGTCGTGAGCCAAGAGGGCGGAGATTAATTAAAAAATTCTTATTTCTCTACAAGAAATTACCATGTAACACATGTTTTTGAGCATCGTGTATTATATACTATGTATATTAAAAATTAAAGCCAGGCTGAGGATAGGACGGATGGGTGGAACTTATTTTTTGGCTTCCTTTTTTACTTAATACATTAGGATAACCCAAACATCCCGCCTTAAAATGACATGTGAAAAAAATTGAAAAGCCCGCGAAAGTTTGAAAAAATTGGCCTTGACTATAATCGTCTAACAAAATGGAACCCAAAGTTGGAAAAGTGCCGCTAAATAAGACACAAAATATATGGAGGACACAAAACGTTTATTCCTCCACTGACAAAAAAAAAAAAATAAAAAAAAGCAGTGACTAAGTTGCGGAGGTTGAAGACCTCTTAGTTCTCAGCAACAACAACAAAAAAACTTGCCTAACTTGGAATGAAATCAAATTAAACGTTCTGAGTCAATGCAAATATTTGAATATCACAAATTTAATAAAAACAAAAAAAATCTGAAGTAAAGTAACAGGATGCAAATGCACAAGTTATTACGGACGTGTGGCGACAAATTCAAAATTATGGCAGTCAACACCCGGGTCGCTATAAGAGTGTGGCGATCGAACTATATAAATTGGGGCTCCAGGTTGTGGCTGTTCTCCCGCCACGGTGGTGATTCTACTCTATCGGCAAGCACATGCCATATCATTGAGAAACGTGCCGCGTTAACAGGCCGTTATGGTCGCAAACTCGTGGTTGGAAATCCGCAAGGTTCCGTCATCCCGACCGCTCTCCTCACTTCTATTCAAGATCTGCGTCTTTTTCGCTAGCTCGACAAGGAACCGCGCACTCCACTTTGGCCACGTGTTTCTGTTATTTACCTCAATTCTATTTAAATGTTCAATTTCTATGATTCTGGCATTAAACTACAACCGATCAAGTGTTAAAGTTCCAAAAAGAACAATAAAGAACATGAAATTTTAAACAGCAAAGAATTTTTATCTGAGATTAAGGTTGGACATCAGACAATTTATATGATGGAAGCATTAATCAATAAAATATTTATGTGGTAGAAATAACGAGCAAAGATTTATAGAAACAAAAAAAGATCTGGTGTGAACTTGTGCAGATAAAAATTACGTGACATTAGAAAAAATTTACGTTCAATTTAAATTACACAGCAAAGAAAATTACTGAGGCTAAAATTCCGAGATAAAGAAAAATTGCATGAGGCGAAAAATTGCAAAGCTAGGAAAATTACATGAGATTAATATTTTATGTCCATTCGAATTAGTGGTTAATTTTTAAAATGGAAGTTATTCAGCTGCATCGTTTTACATTCTCCCAAACAAACACAGAAAAAATAGCAGGTAATCTGGACGTTCAAAATGACGTCGGAAGAATGTGTCGTTAAAAAAATGGGTCAAAAATATGTCTTCCAGAAATGCGATTAATCGTGTGGCAATGTGCAAATAGTGATCTAAATCAAAGGAATAAAATGCACGTCCGACATGACCCACAATGTTGTTAATTTGTTCAACGAGATTTTACGGTTTAAACATGTGCTCGGTTTGAAATTACTCTTTCAACATGGCCGCTGCCAGAACAAAGAATTTACCTGATGTTAAATTATGCCACACTTTATCAACGATTCAAACAAAGAATTTACATTATGTTAAATGATGCCACACTTTATCAAGGTGACTGGTTACTTAAAACAATTAGCTTTGAGAGTTTATATCGTGAACTGTCTTCAGCTTAACCCAAACAAACACATGATAAATAAACACAAAATGTATATATAGCAAGTACTTTATCTTAACAATCTTAGAAGTGTTAAATTGTTTTAGAACCAGTCACGATTAAAATCCTAATATGAACTGTGAATTTACAAACAATAAATCATTTATACCACGTGTTAGCGTCCGTCGAAAATTGCATATTTCGCTTGGAAAAACAGCAAGAATTAGCCACACTTGTTGAGGAAACTGTGTCGTCGCAATCAGTACGATTAATTGTCGTTAAACAAAGGCTTCCCCCTTTTTTTTAACCACCAAACTAACCAAACTTAATCTAGCCACCTCACTGCGTGCTTTCACTCACACAAAACAAACATCAGTGACGCCTCTCAACCCTCTAGCAAATAAGTGAACTTCACTACCAACTCACAAATTCCCCTAGAGCTACCAACTACCAGAAAAAGAATTAAAGTTGGTTGCCTATGTTTAACGATTTTCTTGATTAATTTTTTTTTTTCAAATTCAAATTATTCAAGTGCGACTTCGGGCCATTGTTTTTTTCAGCGCGAAATTTTAACTCAAATTTGGTCACCACAACATATACAGTTTCCGACAAAAAATTTCAAACATCACTTTTCTGTCATGTCAAAAATTTTAATATAGTCTATGCTTTATTGTCATTATTTCGGACAGCTGCAATGTCAAACTTTCAAAATTCCAACTTACGCTACAGCTACATTCATGTAAGTGTCAAATGTAAAAGTTAAAAATGACTGTCAAATATTTAGGTTAGAAACATCTAAAGGTTGCTTTACACTATCTGACGACTGAATGACATTGACGTCTGAAATTTTTTGCCGGCAACTGTAGTTTGCTTTAAACAACACGATTATTCAAGAAATTGTTTCACATAGCAATTTCTCGTAAAAAACAAGAATTTTGCAATTAAGCTCCGCCCCACGACTTACGACGGGTAAAAAAAATCATCACGATTGAGATAGGGTGGGTGGGCGGGGCTTATATTATGCCTTTGTTTCTTAATAAAGGTACTCATCTGTTTTAGATTTTTGTTGTGAAAAAATGACTGCGTATATTAAGAAAAACAAGGTAAAATATAAACCCCGCCCACCCACCCTATCACAATTGTGATGATTTTTTTTTACCCGTCGTAAGTCGTGGGGCGGAGCTTAAAAGCAAAATTCTTGTTTTTCGGGCGGAGTTTAACTGCAAAATCCTTATTTCGCTATAAAAAAATATCATGTAACACATGTTTTTGAGCATGTGTTGTCAAAAAATACTATGTATATTAAAAATTGAAACCAGATCAATATCGAGACGGATGGGTGGGGTTTATCTTCTGGTTTTCTTTTTTACTTAATACATATAGTTTGGTTTAAACACAACGATTACTCAAGAACATGTTTCCCATAGATTGCTAGTAGAATCTTGTGTGGGGAATTAAGAAGTGTTAACACTTAAACATAAGCATCCAGAAACCTTATTTACAACTTGATAAACAAAGGACGAGTCGTGATTAAGTGAATCTTATAAAATCTTACAAAATCTCCTAGCAAGTGCTTTATCTGAACATTTAACGATTAAAATCCTAACATGAACTGTGAATTTACAAACAATAAATCAAATTTACACCACGTGTTAGCGTCGGTCGAAAAGTGCATATTTTGCTTGCAAAAACAGCAAGCTACGCTTGTTGAGGAAACTGTGGCCACACAATCGGTACTATTAATTGTCGTTAACCAAAGGCCAAACCAACTAAACTTAATCTAGCCACCTTACCGCGTGCTTTCACTCACACCAAACAAACATCAGTGACGCCTCTCAACCTTCTAGCAAACAGGTGAACTTCACTACCAACCCACAAATTCCCCTAGAAGAGCTACCAACTACCAGAAAAAGAACTAAACTTGGTAGCCTATGTTTAACGATTTGCTTGATTAATTTATTAAAAATTATTCAAATGCGATTTCGAGCCGTTGTTTTTTTTCAGCGCAAAATTTTAATTCAAATTTGGTCACCACAATATATAGTTTGCTTTAAACAACATGATTACTCAAGAACATGTTTCACATAAGCAGTTTCTCGTAGAAAAACAAGGATTTTGCAATTAAGCTCCGCCCCACGACTTACGACAGGTAAAAAAAAATAATCACGATTGAGATAGGGTGGGTGGGCGGGGCCTATATTATGCCTTTTCTTCTTAATATACATAGTCACCTGTTTTAAATTTTTGTTGTGAAAAAATGACTGCGTATATTAAGAAAAAAAAAGGCAAAATATAAGCTCCGCCCACCCACCCTATCTCAATTGTGATGATTTTTTTTTACCCGTCGTAAGTCGTGGGGCGGAGCTTAATAGCAAAATTCTTGTTTTTCGGGCGGGGTTTAACTGCAAAATCCGTATTTCGCTATAAGAAATTATCATATAACACATGTTTTTGAGCATGTGTTGTCAAAAAATACTATGTATATTAAAAATTAAAACCAGATCGATATCGAGACGGATGGGTGGGGCTTATCTTCTGGTTTTCTTTTTTACTTAATACATATAGTTTGCTTTAAACAATATGATTACTCAAGAACATGTTTCACATAAGCAGTTTCTCGTAGAAAAACAAGGATTTTGCAATTAAGCTCCGCCCCACGACTACGACGGGTAAAAAAAATCATCACGATTGAGCTAGGGTGGGTGGGCGGGCCTTATATTATGCCTTTGTTTCTTAATATAGGTATTCATGTGTTTTAAATTTTTGTTGTGAAAAAATGACTGCGTATATTAAGAAAAAAAAGGCAAAATATAAGCCCCGCCCACCCACCCTATCTCAATTGTGATGATTTCTTTATTCGTCGTGAGCCAAGAGGGCGGAGTTTAACTGCAAAATTCTTATTTCGCTACAAGAAATTATCACGTAACACATGTTTTTCAAAAAATACTATGTATATTAAAAATTCAAACCAGATCGATATCGAGACGGATGGGTGGGGCTTATCTTCTGGTTTTCTTTTTTACTTAATACATATAGTTTGCTTCAAACAACATGATTACTTAAGAACATGTTTCACATAAGCAGTTTTTCGTAGAAAAACAAGAATTTTGCAATTAAGCTCCGCCCCACGACTTACGACAGGTAAAAAAAAATCATCACGATTGTAATAGGGTGGGTGGGCGGGGCCTATATTATGCCTTTTCTTCTTAATATACATAGTCATCTGTTTTAAATTTTTGTTATGAAAAGATGACTGCTTATATTCAGAAAAAAAAGGCAAAACATAAGCCCCGCCTACCCACCCTATCTCAATTGTGATGATTTTTTTTATTCGTCGTGAGCCAAGAGGGCGGAGCTTAATTGCAAAATCCTTATTTCTCTCCAAAAAATTACCATGTAAGACATGTTTTTGAGCACGGTGTTGTTCAAAAAATACTGTATTACTACTATATTAAAAATATCATGTTCTTTCAAATTTGATAAAACTTCATTATTTTCTCTTGGGATCGATACATGTTGTTTGATTCGCAGAAAATGTCGTTATCTTGGATCATATCTATCTTGGTTCAAAAGAAAAGTAAGATTCCCTGCTAAAATTTGAAGGTTTCCTAGTTTCCTTTCCTTGGTCTTTCGGCCCTGTTAGTTGCCAGAAACGCTAGACAACACAAGAAAAAGCGTGAAAAGTAACATTTCTGAAGTTTTTTAACTAATTTCTTAATTCTACAAAGGGCAGAATGTATGAAATATACCAAATCGTCTCCTTTTTGCAAAATCGTCAAACCAAGTCGAAATATACTTCGGAACTCATAAAATTCAACAAAAATAAGATTTCTAGCTAAATTTTGATGGTTTACTTGGTATTGGGTGCCGGAAACAATGGAAAACACAAGAAATAGCTTGAAAAGTTACATTTCCGAGGTGTTTTGACGAATTTATTGAATGTACAAGCTCCACCCAAACCGTCGTCACGTGACCTCACGTGATCTCCCCACTACTCATTTCTCCACACAGATCAATTTTCACGTGACCCCGTACCGCTGAATTGTGGCCAAAGGCAGCTAAGAAACTCAACTCATGCTTTTCTACACACAAAAAAAGTTATCGTAGCCTTATTTTCACTTGGAAAAACTTCTGACCTAAAATTTTTCCTTAAACCCCGAAATTGTCCCATTCCAGAGCGCCCCCTCCTGATCCACAAAACCAAATTCGACATCCGTCAGTGGTTCCTAGTAACTAACTTCCGACCTCTCACCATCTGGATGTACCGCGAGAGCTACCTCAGATTCAGCAGCCGGGTTTTCTCCTTAAACAACTTCCACGAGTCCCTGCATTTAACAAACCATGCTGTTCAGTGCAAATACACAAACGTGCCTCAGCGGGACAGAGCCCTGCCCCATGACAACATGTGGGATTGCCACACTTTCCAAACCTGGTTGAAGGAAATGGGCATAAAAGAGAAGTGGGACGAAAACATATTACCAGGAATGCGACAAGCTATAGTTTGTACCATGTTGGCTAGTCAAGAGCTGATGGACAAAAGACAACACACCTTTGAAATATATGGAGCGGATTTTATCATTTCGGAAGATTTTAAGCCTTGGCTGCTCGAAATTAACTGTAATCCGGCTTTGTCGTCGACCACTAGGGTCACAACTAGGATGTGTCCGCAGTGTATGGAAGACCTAGTCAAAGGTTATTTGTATTTCTTTGTTTGGCGTTTCAACAATACTGTAACAGTGTGTTTCAGTCGTTATTGACCGAAGAACAAACTCAAAGGCTGACACAGGGTTATTCGACCTCGTGTATCGTCAAAGTGTGACGCCGATTGCTTTGTACCCAGGAGGGGATTTGTCTATCCGGGGTCGATGTATTTTCAAGGATCAATACAAGTTGCAAAAGGTTGCACTAGGCAATGAGAGTAAAAGGAGCACATCCCAGTTTTGGCATCGCAGTAACAAGTTCGTGACGAGCGGCAGCAAGAGAAGTTTAACATCACGATTAACACAGTCGCCACGATTAACACATTCACCGGAAAGAACTCTGCCACCAATATACACCAGGCCGATAATCGTAGATCTAATCGAGAATTTGAACAAGTCTTCAACGAATCCAAAAACTTGGAAAGCTGCCTAAAACGACACGAAAGGGTATTGAAAAAAAATTGTGTCAAAACAAACAAAATCAGTTTTTTCTAGACACCATCCAATCACAAAAGAAGTGTCAAAAACGACGGCATTGAAAATTGGCAGTTATTTAGAAATTTTTCAGAAGGACCACATTTTGTGTCAGTTGTATTGGAGTCTTACTGAGTTTCAACCACATCAAGACTATACAATCACAGATCTTAAAACCATTTTTGACTCATCTGTCCTGTTCATTTATTATGTATTACTTGTGTCATATTTATTACACTGGATTTTTTGTTTGTTTGCAGTCTTTGTTTTTAGTTAGAGCAGAAGCAGGTTTTTTTCAGCGATCTTGTGTAATTCAAACATCAAAGCATCTTAAAAAAGCAAACGTGTCAATAATGTCAGATTAAGCATTTAATGTCAGAATTGTGAGCTGTTTAAATCATTCATCAAAATTGTTCGTTTTTCATTAAATTGTTTAGTATGTACCCTAAAAGTGCAAATCCAACGTCCCAAAGCGTAAGAACACCCTTGAACTTTTAGAACTACAATGTACCCGTTAAATTTCCAGCGGTATCAACATCCTCTCCTTCAAGTCCCAAAGAAACATGACCATTTCAAGTTTCAACTACCAAATACCAACAGAAACATGAGATCAGCGTATGATGCACCCAAATATGCCGTCCCAAAAGTACGACCTAAAGTACTGACGCGATTTCCAGTAACTTTTATCATTCCAGAGTAACTCTACTGGACTTTATAAAACTTGTCCGCATGTAGCTAAACGTGGGAGTAATGCGAATCGTTCCAATGGGAGACCTGCAAGTCCCCAGAGAAAACCGGTACTGTTCCTGTTTGGAATCACGCAACTGATTTTAGTGGCTTGATTTTAGGCACGTGATAACACGCAAGTGATTTTCGAGCGATTTACACCCTTTGGTAACAATACGATGAAAAGTACCAATAATACCATTTGGACTAACACCACCAACAAGACTGTAGTCCAAAAAAATGTGAAGAATGTGGTACAGAAAACACAGACGAAGAAAACGCAGAATTTAGCAAGTTCAAAAAAATGTGGCAGGCCGGATAGTAGTAGTAGCCAAAATTCGAGCACTACTGGCAGATCTGTAAATATACAACCGCAGCAGAAGGTACGTCAAAAAATCTACGACAGATTTGTATACTTTTCATTTTAGATTGCAGTTTCGGAAGCCACTAAACCGTGCGATCATAACGTAAACAAAAATACGAATCAATCTCAAACTAGTTCTAACATAAATCGGTCTCAACAGCAAATGGTACTTTTCAGTATCGACGGTACGACTTGCTTTTACTAAAATCGGATTTTTTTGTTGCAGGGTATCGTTCCAGAAATTCCCGAAGTGCATGAACCTGTTGCTAACAAAAATCTTGCTCAACCACAAATCCGTGCCAGTGTTCATCCATCTCCACAAGCAAAAGTACTTCCCAGAGTAGCTCTTGCTTCATTTTGACTATTTTGATTTCAGGGTGGTGTTCAAGAACTTCAGAAATCGTGTGAACACAATGTTGTTAAAAATGTTACCCAGACACAAATGCTTAACAATGTTAATCAAGAAACTCAGCAAAAGGTACTTTTCTAGACAACAAACTATTAGAATGTTTTAAATTTCAATGGTCAAATTTCAGATGGGTGATACAGTGGGTTGTAAAACGTGTGAACACAATGTGAATAAAAATACGGACCATAATCGATTGCACAAGGTACTCTTCAAACTTAAAAAAAATCTCAACTGTACGCTTTTTTGTAGAATGTAGTTCCTGAAGGTGTCAAGAAAAATGAACAAAACACAGGCAGGAACGTAACTCACCGGCAGGCTGGTGGTAAAAAAGTATCACAACAAAAGGTACTTTTCAAATAATCGTACTATTTGTAATGACTTAGTCGGATTTTTGTCACATCCTTGTAGTTTTGTACAAAATATCAACTAAAAATCGACACTTTTTTAGGCCAACACTCCTGTAGGAATTGAACAAGTAAATAAGAATAAACAGCTGAAGAATGCAGCTGCTGAAGATGCTGAAGCTGAAAATGTAAATCCAGTGGTGTTTTTACTTTGATTTTGTTAAAATGTTTCTTACAGAAGCCGATTATTGAAGTATACAAGAAATGCCAACTTCCTAGACAATATCCTTGCGAATATCCAAAGTGTTCAAATTTAAATTTTAAAAAGGTAAGTAAGAAGTTACATGGGTGAATATTTATCCGTTATACCGGGTGTGGGGAAAATGGCGGATTAACTCTTCAGTACGTTATGTACGGGAGTTTCGGGAGAAAAGAGAGGGTGGGTGGGCGGGGCTAGTATCTGTTAAGACTGATTTTTTGGGCAAATGAATATGATCATGGATGAGATAAATATTAACTAAAAGTTTTATTACTAGTTATTGTCATAATGAATGTGTTATTTAGTTATTAAAAAGAACCAATTTTTAAATTATAACTCCACCAAAATGTGAGAAGGAGTTGATTGTTAAGAACGTAGCGGAGAGTTAATCCGCCATTTTCCAGACACCTGGTATAGGGTGTTCCATTTTCTGCAGTCTACAAGAAAACGCTTACTCTTTTTAACAAAAAATGACATCCGCCAAAAAAATCTTTTTTAAAGATGTTGTCTATTCATTTTCTCCAAAAAATTGATTACGTCATCTTAAAACTTTGTCTTACCAATTTATGCCAAATTAATTATTTTTAAATTACCGCTAACATTGATTTAGTATATTAACTATATGGTGTTCACAACTGTTTTAAACACGTAGTAGGCCAAGATATTTTTTTGTTAGGTTGGCTGCTCTTTTTTATTTCCCGAACGTACTAGGAAAGTACAGTAATCAAGTCCATCAGGCGATTTGCTACTTTCATATTTTCTCGACGTTTCATAACCCCTAGACTACGTAAAATGTAGTCTTTCGTTTCCGTCTGTCGGGCGTCAGTGTCGATTTTTTTAGACAGACTACTGGGCCGATTATTGGCAAATTTTGTGTGTATATTAAGAATATCATATAGGTAGATGGTAAAGCCTGTACTTGCGGCTTATGAATCTATGTTGAGACCATAGACTGTAGACATCCAGATTTGTGGAAAAAATTCAAAATTGTATAACATTTTGCAATTTAATTTTGAAAATGTAAAAAAATTTAGCAACGTCATCTCAAAATTTTGTCTAATAGTAATATTCCTGAAATATGCAAAATATTATGACTACCGAGCGTAAGCTAAGGAAGTATAGTAATCGAGTCCATCGGACGAATGGCCACTTTTATATTTTCTCGACGTTTCATGACCCTTAGAGTACGAAACTGTAGTCTCGCGTTTCCGTCTGTCTGTCTGTCTGGTCTCTGTATCCATTTTTATTAGACACGTAATCTCCGTTGGATCGATTGTTGTCAAATTTTGTATGTACATTTGAAATATTATGTAGATGGTTAAATGCTAACCAAAATTTTGCTAATCATCCCCACCAACAATTTGATGACGTAATTTTGAGAAATTCTATGTTTATTTTATTTATATATTTATATTAGTTATACAACAATATAGTATATACTCCTATAAGTTTGGTGTACGAATCCGCTTTCAGTTTTTTCCTAATCGTCCAAATTTTTGCAAAAACAGAATGCACGATATAATAATAGTTTACCATTAACGCAAGGCAACCCGGTGGTGGTCTAATGGTTATGAGCTATGAATGAGGGCCGGGAGTGGGATTTTGTTTCTACCGATAAAGAAAAAGACAACACATTTTATCGTTATAGAAACAAAATCCCACCCCAGACGTCGCGCGTTAGATTCCGAACTTTGCCTTTCGTTTTTTTTTTCTCTGTTTTTCTCGCATTATGTATTATCTATGTTTATGGCACCATAACCAATTTTTTAATGTAAAACTTCGGGGGCCCCAAATGTATTTTTTTAATAATGTGAAACCTTCTCGGGGGACCCAATTGTCCTTTTTAAAAATGTAAAACCTTCTCGGGGGCGCCAAATGTTTTTTTTTTTTAGAATGTGAAACTTTCTCGGAGATCCCAACTGTCTTTTTCCAAATGTAAAATCTTCTCGGGGGCCCCAAATGTTTTTTTTTAATGTGAAACCTTCTCGGGGATCCCAACTGTCTTTTTTAAAAATGTAAAACCTTCTAGGGGGCGCCATATGTCTTTTTTTTTAATGTGAAACCTTCTCGGTGGTCCCAACTGTCTTTTTTAAAATTGTAAAACCTTCTCGGGGATCCCAACTGTCTTTTTTAAAAACGTAAAACTTTCTAGGGGGCGCGAAATGTCTTTTTTTTAACGTGAAAGCTTCTCGGGGGTCCTAACTGTCTTTTTCCAAATGTAAAATCTTCTCGGAGACCCCAAATGCTTTTTTTTAATGTAAAACCTTCTCGGGGGCGCCAAATGTCTTTTTTTTAATGTGAAACCTTCTTGGGGGCCCCAACTGTCTTTTTTTTAATGTGAAACCTTCTCGGGGGTCCCAACTGTCTTTTTCCAAATGTAAAATTTTCTCGGGGGCCCCAAATGCTTTTTTTTAATGTGAAACTTTCTCGGGGGTCCCAACAGTCTTTTTCCAAATGTAAAATCTTCTCGGGGGCGCCAAATGTCTTTTTTTTAATGTAAAACCTTCTTGGGGGTCCCAACTGTCTTTTTTTTAATGTGAAATCTTTTCGGGGACCCCAAATGCTTTTTTTTAATGTAAAACCTTTTCGGGGACGCCAAATGGCTTGTTTTTTAATGTGAAACCTTCTTGGGGGCCCCAACTGTCTTTTTTTTAATGTGAAACCTTCTCGGGGGTCCCAACAGTCTTTTTCCAAATGTAAAACCTTCTCGGGGGCGCCAAATGTCTTTTTTTTAATCTGAAACCTTCTTGGGGGTCCCAACTGTCTTTTTTTTAATGTGAAACCTTCTCGGGGATCCCAACTGTCTTTTTTTAAAATGTAAAACCTTCTAGTGGGCACCAAATGTCTTTTTTTTAATGTAAAACCTTCTCGGGGGTCCCAACTGTCTTTTTTGAAAATGTAAAACTTTCTAGGGGGCGCGAAATGTCTTTTTTTAAACGTGAAAGCTTCTCGGGGGTCCCAACTGTTTTGTTCCAAATCTAAAATCTTCTCGGGGACCCCAAATGCTTTTTTTTTAATGTGAAACCTTCTCAGAGGCGCCAAATGTCTTTTTTTAAATGTGAAACCTTCTTGGGGATCCCAACTGTCTTTTTTAAAAATGTAAAATCTTCTAGGGGGCGCCAAATGTCTTTTTTTTTTAATGTGAAGCCTTCTCCGGGGTCCCAACTGTCTTTTTTAAAAGTGTAAAACCTTCTCGGGGATCCCAACTGTCTTGTTTAAAAACGTAAAACTTTCTAGGGGGCGCGAAATGTCTTTTTTTTAACGTGAAAGCTTCTCGGGGGTCCCAACAGTCTTTTTCCAAATGTAAAATCTTCTCGGGGACCCCAAATGCTTTTTTTTAATGTGAAACTTTCTCGTTGGTCCCAACAGTCTTTTTCCAAATGTAAAATCTTCTCGGGGGCGCCAAATGTCTTTTTTTTTAATGTGAAACCTTCTCGGGGATCCCAACTGTCTTTTTTAAAAATGTAAAACCTTCTAGGGGGCGCCAAATGTCTTTTTTTTTAATGTGAAGCCTTCTCGGGGGTCCCAACTGTCTTTTTTAAAAGTGTAAAACCTTCTCGGGGATCCCAACTGTCTTGTTTAAAAACGTAAAACTTTCTAGGGGGCGCGAAATGTCTTTTTTTTAACGTGAAAGCTTCTCGGGGGTCCCTACTGTCTTTTTCCAAATGTAAAATCTTCTCGGGGACCCCAAATGCTTTTTTTTTAATGTGAAACCTTCTCGGGGGTCCCAACAGTCTTTTTCCAAATGTAAAATCTTCTCGGGGGCGCCAAATGTTTTTTTTTTAGAATGTGAAACCTTCTCGGGGGTCCCAACTGTCTTTTTCCAAATGTAAAACCTTCTCGGGGGCGCCAAATGTCTTTTTTTTAATGTGAAACCTTCTTGGGGATCCCAACTGTCTTTTTTAAAAATGTAAAACCTTCTAGGGGGCGTCAAATGTCTTTTTTTTAATGTGAAAGCTTGTCGGGGGTCTCAACTGTCTTTTTCCAAATATAAAATCTTCTCGGGGCCCCCAAATATTTTTTTTTAATGTGAAACTTTCTCAGGGGCCCCAAGTGCCTTTTTTTAAGATTATTTTATCTTCTCGGGGATCCCACCTGTTTTTTTTTTTAAGAAGGTGAAACCTTTTTTTCAGTTAGACTGTGACTAGTACCTTCTACATTATCTTTACTCCATTGAGGTTATAACGAAAAAGTAAAGTTCCACAAAATCAAATTTTATAATTTTTTAGAGAAGCAGTACTTGTTCGACTGTACTTCAGAAGCGAGGGAAGTTCTGTTGAAATAACTTTCGACCAATTTTGATTTTATCAACACAGTGTTGGATTTGCTCGTTCAGAAAAGCATAATAAATGAAATCAAAAATCTCAAAAACACTAAATTAAAAATTCAGATAAATGTGACGACCTTTTTTATTATTTCGATTTCTATCAGTTATTTCATACTATTGAACTACATTTATAAACTAAAATCAATTAACATACGTTCATAAATAAAAAAGTTATTCGAGGTGTCCCCTTTTAGGTAACTCACCTTGTACACACCCTCCAAAATGTTGATGACGTACTTAATGTCGAAGAACAGACGTAAGTAATCTTCTCAATAAACGTATTTTCTTTTAGGTGACCCAAGATCTTGCTAACATCATCAAAAATTTCCAAAAACAAATCAACGAAGTGTCTGTTCCAAGTGTCCAAATGGAGCAAGTCCCTTCCGCAATGATTAAACCAAAAATGAAAGAATTTTTCAAAAATTCTACATCACCTCCCGACAATAACAACGACAACAACAATAACAACAACAAAACAAACAACAATAAAAATCCAAACAACAAGAACAAAAACGACACCAACAGAAACCAGAACTTAAACAACACAAGTCAGAACTGCTTCAGTCAACGAAGTTCGTCAACGTTATCAAGCTTGAACAAACGAACGAGCTCGAAGAGTTTAACGGCACGTAGTGGCTTGTTGTCGAGACACTCTTTCACGTAAGACATTGTTACCTCGTTATTTTTAACCAATCGCTCCTTGTAGACCCTTCCGCTCCCTGACCCAACACAACATGTTGCCTAGAAGCTCATCGTCCAGAGGATTCAGCCACCGCCCTTTGTACACAGACCCGCTAAAAGAACTGAAAACAGAAGTGCAAACCGCCATCCGAGAAAGGAAAACTTTCACCATACGCGGGCAGTTTCACCCCATTCGTAAAGCCCTTCTTGCTAGAGGATGGGTGGAGAAATATCACCCGTCGTACAAGGATCGTCTAAACAACAGTATTAGTCGTTACCACAGCCACACGATCGCAGAACTGTTGACACTAATGAGGAAAGAAGATCTGACAGCGATGTGCAAGAATTTAATCAAGTCGAAGCTTCTAGGTGGTTATCAGGTGGATTTCTACTGGGGGACCAACGATGAAGCTTTTAGGGAAAATCCTGACAAAATAAAATTGACTATCATAAACAAGCTCAAAAAAGAAATTTTTAGTTACACTAACAAACAAGGGTTGTCTGATGCGAGTAAATGTTCCTACTGGTACCAGAAATACAACGTTTCGAAACTGAACCACCCTAGAACCTACAGTCTGGGGAAAAATGGTGACCTCAAGGGTTTCATTGACGATTTTCACTGCACTGCGGTGATGTCGCTGCTGAAATGGGTGGTGAAGATGAATGCCACTAAAGAGTGCAAACTTATGAGTCCGTCTGGGAAAATACCAATGGAGACGTACGATTTCGCGTTGAATGAGTGTTGTAAGTTTATTAAGAAGGCCCGGCATGAAGACATTGATATGAAAATACCGGAGGCTACGGAGAACGAGTGGAATCAGTTCTTGGACTACTTTTACAAGCTTATACACTACAATAACCACTTTAAGGCCGAAGGGAAAGAAACGGAAGAGTCGTTGGTGCGGAAGTCCAACTACATTTTAAATAATTTGAAGAGTTTCTACCATTTTGTGGATATGGATGGGATGATGAATATATGGATTTTGAAGCCCACGGCTAGCAGTAGAGGCAGAGGGATCCATATGTGTAGGACGTTACAATACGTCCTCAAGATTATAAAACAAAATCACAACATACGGTACATAATACAAAAATATATAGGTAAGTACGACGTCACACCGAGTCTCCATTACTTAAGTCATTGTAGAGCGCCCTCTGCTGATTTATAACACAAAGTTTGACATACGACAGTGGTTTGTAATTAGCAACTGCTGTCCTCTCACAATTTGGATGTACAAGTAATTTCTGACCTTAATTAAGTACTAACTTAAGTAACGTCTTACTTTTTCAGAGAGTGTTACTTACGATTCAGTTCGCAGACATACAACTTGCGGAAGCTTCACGAATCTATACATTTGACAAACAACTCGGTTCAGTGTAAATACAAAAATAACTTTTTAGATGCGGCACTACCAAGTTACAATATGTGGGATTCACAGCAATTTGAAAGCTATCTGTCAAACATCGGTTATCCTACAGCCTTCCGGGATATAATTTATCCAGGAATGAAACAATGCATTACTGCTGCTGTCTTAATGCATCAAGATAAAATGGTCGTTAGGAAAAACTGTTTCGAGTTGTATGGCGCCGACTTTATACTAACCGAAGACTTCCAACCCTGGTTGTTGGAAATTAATTCTAGTCCGGCTCTGTACTCCTCCACACCCGTGACGGCACGCATGTGCCCGAAGGTTCTCGAAGATGTTATAAAAGGTGAGTAAACGCTTGTTTGCGCCTTCGATATTTATGTTGGTATAAAAAAAATACCCTGTTGGGAACTATGATGGCAGAACTGTTACGTTACGCACGTTCTGGAGTGTTCTGTGCGCATGTTCACAACTGACGCAGACGTGATAACTCAAGAACTCAAAAAGTGGCTTCTTGTATAAAAAAAAATGTTTCATTTATATCAGTAGTTTCTAAACTTATGTGGCTCCAAAAACAATACTTTTGCATACTTTCAGCGTACAAAAAGAAAAAATGTTATTGTTAATAAAACATCCATTTTTAAAGATTTGTCTTTGATAGAATTTTAGTCTTCTCGAATGACCGTCAATTTCAAAGTTTGAATTAAAAATTCTACGATCACAGAGACGAGTGGTTGTTTTTGATTATTATTTTTTATTGGTTTCTCGGTATAGTAGAACAGCCTAGTACTGTTTCAGTTGGTATCCATGAATCTTGTTTGAAATTGATAAATCTGTCACTCCTACCTTACTTCCTATCTATTGTCAAAACTGACATGATTGACAGTGACATTTAATTTATGTCAACCTCCCACTTTGGGAACCACTGATATGTAGCAATTATGACTTATTTTCGGAGCGCCATCTGGAAGAAGAAATAAACCTCGAAACTTAACTTATTTCTAAAGACCTAAAGTCGTCTATCAATCATTAAACTTTAATTTAAAAAAAAAAAAGAATGTTGGCAACACTAACGCAGTTTAAGTTACAGTCAAATAAATTGTCAAATAGCTGTAATGGCAACATTATTATTTTAAAAATAAATTTCATGGCACTAGACGACTTTTTATCAATCGTGAGATAACTGTTAAGGTCGATTTATACACTTGTCGCTGACGTTGTTGACGTTACCGTCGTAAGATAAATACGCAGCGAATGTATGCGTCGTTTATATCATCCATTGACGTTGTCGTTGAAAGTTGGCAGGCCGTTGGGATGATGTTCGAGATGACTACGATGACCAACTTTTAACGCCGTTACGTTGGATTTTCAACCAATCAAAGAAACTTAAAATGCTCCGCCTCTCGGTCTGACAACGAATGAAGAATTCATCACGATTGAGATCGAGCCGGATGGGTGGGGCTTCTCTTTTGGTTTTCTTTTTTAATTAATACATTTAGTTTTCTTTGTATAATAGGATTACTTAAGAACATATTTCACCTGGTAATTTCTCGTAGAAAAATAAGGAATTTACAATTAAGCTCCGCCCCCCGGCTTATGACGAATAAAAAAAATCATCAGAATTGAGATAGGGCGGGTGGGCGGGGCTTATATTTTGCCTTTTTTTTTTTTTCTTAATATACGTAGCCATCTTTTCACAACAAGAAACTTAAAACATGGTTAAAATTGTACATTTTTGCAAGGTATTTCCTTACAGAAATTTTCCATTTTAAACATGCTTTAGGTTTCATGTATAGCCCCTAGACCGTCATCCATTGTCGTACGAGTGGAGCAAATGCAGTTGGTAACGCATAAAATTCCCCTAGTTTGGAACCAAATTGTGTCAGCAGAGAGTAAACCGTTGTTGTCACGTGGTCTTGGCGTGGTCTTTTTGTTTAAAGTCAATTAATTGTCAATTAATATAACTAATAATTATTAAATATGATTTTATTAATTAAATTTTATATTTTATTCAAATTAAAAATCCATATTTTGTACATAAACTACAAACTTTAAATCCAACATAAAACCATTTTAAATTTCGCGGTCTGTCAAATGGTGTTCATAATTTTTGTTTTTGTTAAGTTTCCGCCAGGTTTGCTCCACGGTGACGATACTATGTGTTTTCTAGGGGCTATACCTAGTTTCATGTTGTGAAAAGAAGTCTACACATATTAAAAACAAAAAGGCAAAATGTAAACCCACCCACCCACCCTACCTCAATTGTGATGATTTTTTTTCTTCATCGTGAGCCAAGAGGGCGGAACTTAACTGCAAAATACTTATTTGTTTACAAAGAATGAAAAACATGTTTTTAAGTATCGTGTTGTTCAAAGAATACTACGTATATTAAGAAAAAAGGGCAAAATACAAACCCCGCCCACCCACCCTTTCTCAATGTGTCGATTTTTTTTATTCGTCGTGAGACAAGAAGGCGGAGCTTAACTGCAAAATAATTATTTCTCTACAAGAAAATACCATGTAAGACATGTTTTTGAGTATCGTGTTGTTCAAGAAATACTACGACCCCCTAAAATTTGGTGACCACAACATATAGTTCGCTTTAAACAATATGATTTTTCAAGAACATGTTTCACAGCAATTTCTCGTAGAAAAACAAGAATTTTGCAATTAAGCTCCGCCCCACAACTTACGACGGGTAAAAAAATATATCACGATTGAGATAGGGTGGGTGGGCGGGGCTTATATTTTGCCTTTTTTTCTTACTATACATAGTCATCAGTTTTAAATTTTTGTTGTGAAAAGATGACTGCGTATATTAAGAAAAGAAAGGTAAAATATAAGCCCCGCCCACCCACCCTATCTCAAGTGTGATGATTTTTTTAATTGGTCGTGAGGCAAGAGGGAGGAGCTTAATTGCAAAATCCTTATTTCTTTAAAAGAATGTAAAAATTTTAATCGCTATTAACTTTTAATTGAGGTCCATTGTTATGCAACGTGCGTGTTTTAACCAATCACGGGCTCATATTCTACATTTTAATCCTTTGTTGAATTAATCGAGGATTAAATATTTAATTCGTTTTCTCTAAACCGGCTCCAGGTAGATTAAATATATCATGTTCTTTCAAATTTTATAAAACTTTATTATTTTCTCTTGGGATCGATACATTTTCCTAGCTTTGATTCGGAAAAAATGTAAATAATATAAACCCCGCCCACCCACCCCATCTCAATTGTGACCATTTTGTTTATTCATATAAACTTAAAAGACGTTCAAAATGGTAAATTTTTGTAAGGAAATATGGATTTTGCAATTAGACTCCGCCCCTAGGTCTGCCAATGAATGAAAAGTTCATTACTATTTAGATGAGGGCAGGTATGGGTGGGGCTTAATGTTTGGCTTAAATTTTTTCTTAATATACATAGTATTCTTTGAATAACACGATAATCAAAAACACGTCTTAGATGGTAATTTCTTGTAGAGAAATAATAACGATTTTGCATATTAAATTTCGCTCTTTTGGCTAGCGACAATTTAAAAAATAATTATCACAATTGAGAGAGGGTGGGTGGGCGGGGCTTATATTTTGCCTTTTTTCTTAACATACGTAGTCGTCTTTTCAGAACAAGAAACTTAAAATATGTTTAAGATGGTAAATTTTTGTACACGAATATAGTTCTTGCAATTAAGCCCCGCCCCTCGATCTGAAAACGAATGAAAAATTAATCACAATTGTAAATTGAGATCGGGACGGGTATGGGTGGAGCCTAATCTTTGGCTTTATTTTTTTCTTAATATACATAATATTCTTTGGACAACACGATACCGAAAAACATGTTTTTAATTTCTCGTAAAGAAATAATGTGGATTTTGCAGTTAAGCTCCGCCCCTTTGCCTCACGACGAATAAAAAAAAATCATCACAATTGGGATGGGGCGGGTGGGCGGGGCTACATTTTTGCCTCTTTTTCTTAATATGTGTAGACTTATTTCGACAACAAGAAACTTAAAGCATGCCTAAAATGGTAAATTTTTGTAATGATCAACTTAAATCCTCCACTTTTCTTCTTATTTTGGCATGAGCGTGCCTAAAAACCGGCGAGATGACAACTAGGTTAAAATTTGAATTTGACATTAGGTATACCATCATAAAATGTTAAACATGTTGCCAACCTGACAAAAAAATTATAAACGAATGTAAGCTCGTATTCATTTGCTAAAAACCTAACAGAGAGCGGCCACTTGAATTTAAATTACTGCTTATCTTTACACGTCTATTTTATTAATTTAGCAATGACATTAGCATTTTTGTTAGTCTTAAAATACCGGTTGACTATTAATTATTTGTATTGGCACCAATGTTTTGATGTCAGTTTATAGTTGCCAATTAAAACTGATTAAAACACTAAAATGTCCATTTGACAATCAGGTACGCCAATATAAAATTTTACATGTTGCCAACCTGACAAAAAAATCACTCGATATTTACTTTATTTTTAAGTTAAAAAACTTGTTTAATACTTGTCGTTTCAGTTGTTATCGACTACACCCGTAACAATAAAGCGAACACTGGTTCCTTTGAAATGGTTTACAGACAACAACAGACCAAACTGCCTGCACCTGGAGCTCTGGAAATCAAAGGAACCCCCCTCAAAAGCAACTACTTTTTCAACGGCCCCGACCAAGAACTCCCGGACAAATCACCGATGCCATCGCTCAGCGACCCTTTAGCGGTGGTGGAGCACGGCCAAGACTGTCTCAAGATGTTCGGCGACGAGATCAAAAAAACCTTGAAAAACCTGCTACAAATAATCCAGAACGAAAAGCAGAAACGTGGTCTCGACAAGAACCAGATAAAAAATTAATCGAGTATTGTCCAATGTAAGCTTCAAACCGTAAATAAAAAACCCAATAAATACAGAAGTTTTGTATCTGAACTTAGCAACTTATAATTATCTTCATATTTACATATAAAAAAAGTTTTCTTAATTTTATGTTCTTAAAAATCCGTCTTAAATCTAGAACTGTCACTCACATGACACTCACTACTATAGAACAGGTTTGAGCGAAAACGACAATTTCGGTCTTGAATTATTTTTTCCTAGAATTTTTTTCTGTTCCTCTTTCACTCTTTTTTCCTGTTCCTTTCGTAGTCGTTGTCTCTCTTCGTCCATTTTTCTCTGCTCTTCCACCATGGCTAACCTTTCTTCTGCCTGGTGTAAGCACAGTTAAAAATTTTTAGACCAAGTAGTTGAAAAAGTTACCAATTTGCGCTGCGCTTCTTCGATTTTCCTCTGATTCTCTTCCAGGATTCTTTCCACCATTTCTTGCTTTCGCTGTTCTTCTTCCTATAAAACATATGACGCAATCAATAATTGCTTAAGACCACATTTGCCTGGCCCCAGCTCTCTTTTCTCGCTCGCGCACACAGCCACAAATAGGGTTTTTTGAAATTTCGCCCTATTTACGGCCACAACTTGGACATGCACACCATGGACTTGCAAGCTTAGTGCTCTAATAATTGCTTATGAACAAATGTAAACGTTTTTTGGTTATTAGAGCACGAGCTTAACCTCGGAAATTTTGATTTCGAAATTGACGACATGTAAAAAGGGTCAAAATTTCTGAGGCCGGTGATGGTTTAAATGGGAACGCAGCCATGCCTCGGCTCGGGCCAGTGGGTATAAAATAATAATACAACTCCTGAGTCATAAGTCTTAAAGGTATAAAAGTGTATAAAAAAAGATTGGATAATACCTGAGGCGCGCCGTGCTGTCCACTGCAACCGAAGACCACTACGCCTTATCTCTTGGTTATGCTCACTGTCGACCCTTAGCTTACATGCTATTGGCATATTAATTACATAACTTTTCGGGATAATGTAGACACTCATCTACATTCTACCTATTTTGTGCAACCACGTCAAAGAACAAAAAAATACGTCACGTGTGTTCTTTTTTCATTTATTTACTTTTTCTATTATAATCACTGTTTTTTAGGATATATTCAAAACAGTTCACAGTTTCAGCAGTCTCCACTTCTCGTAAAGTATGTTTAAAAATATATCCGGAATTAAGCACATGAGTTAAGTACAGAGGTTCTGATGGGAATGGACATGTCCTTGTAAGGATTTCCAACATCCTTACAAAAACACAAAAGTAAATGAAGATTTAAAGATAATCCAACAAAGAGACGTAGTTTACACAACAATCTATTTCAAATCGATATAACAAAAACAAGTATAACAGTAATTGTAAAAAATAAGATTAAATCTTTAAAAATCGGCTGGTGGCCGTAATCTTATCCTTACCTCTCTACGCTTCTCTTCTTCTCTCTGTTTCTCTCTTCGCCTTTCTAAATCCTCCATCATTTGCTTCTCCATTATCCTCTTTGCCTCCTCCACGCGCTTGTTCACCTCCTTTTCGATCTCGTCCTTCCTTTTCTCCAACTCTTCTTCCACTCGCTTTTTGACTAACTCCTCGATTCTTTTCGCCGTCTCCTCCTCGATCAACCTCTGCTCGGCCTCCCGCTGCCGCCTCTGCCTCTCCATTTCCGCCAACCTCTCAACTTCATCCATCTTTCTAGACCTACTCTTTTTAGTTGCATGTTTTTCAGTCCTAGTTAAATCCACCGAAGCGTCACTACTCGAAGTGGACGAAATCGAATTCGACCGTTTCCTACAAACGCGCACCTTCAGTTTACACAAACCCCCACAATTCACACACGTGTTACCTAGATTTGGAGCTTTTTTCTTTAATTTTCTCCGAGTTTTTGTAGCTCTTACTGTGTGAGGTTGACCTTCTCTCTGACCTCTCTCTAGACTTGCTCCGTTTGTGATGTTTGCTTTTGTGGTGCTTCCTTGGGGATCTGCTTCGCGATCTAGACCTACCCATTGCGTTTAAAACTATATTTATCAACAAAATATGGAAAAACTAGCTACAACTTTGCGAAACGTTTGACATTTGACAACTTGGTCGACGCAACATTGCGCAGGCGCATTTGCGCAAGCAAGTCAATAACCCAATAGGACGATGTTGTCACGTGACGCAACCATTTAAATGTCAGCTGTCATACGTCAATCGTATTTTTGAAAGTGAAAAAAGGTGCAAGTTGGGTGTTTAATAACGAAAAATGTTGGTAAATGGGACAAGAACGTGTACGAAGACCTTGTTACAAACGGTCGCAAGGTCGGTAGTTGCCTGTCACACTCGAAATGTCACGTACGTACAAGGACAAGAACCGGAGCCCAAAGTCCGGGAATATTTTTATTATATAGATCACCAAGGAATGGTATACGAGGTAAAATCTAAGAGATAAACCCCAAAATTGATGAAAACAGTTGTTTTTAGATGACTCAAAAATGAAGAATTTCACCTCTTGCTTCAAGGAGAAGAAATTTCTGCAATTTTTTTTCAATCAGTTGAAACTAAACAACACAGACAGGTATAAGGAGTTTCCTTACTTGTCTATCTGTGGAAAAGAACGAAACTTCGTACGTTGCGACGATTTTCCTGTTGTTTTTACAAACGTAATTAGTAAAAATTTGAAAGATGGCTCTGTGGAAACACACTTAGCATACAATCATGCTGGAGATTTACTCTCACACAAGTTTGAACCCAATAAAATCATCATGATACCGGATACTGGTAGAGTGTATCACCCAGCGTCTCAAAGAACAGGTTCCATAGGGTTAGTCAGGTCAAAACTTGCAATCGAATTCAGCAAATATTTTACTTTCAATAATGGCGAAAGCAACCCACCTACACATTTCACTTTTAACGACGTCACGTACGAGCTAGACAACGCTTGGTACTTAAAACACAAATAAACAACTTCAATTTACTTGTTAAAAAGTTCTGAAATACATTAGGTACTCAAGAAATTCTGTAAACATATTTAATAAACTTTATATTGCACGTTGCTTTTGATTGTTTGCCAATATATAAAAATATCTAAAATTACACAACTATTTTAACAGCCTTGCTCAAAGCACAATTGTCATGTGAAAAAATATTGCTAAATAAAATAAAAATTTTGATAATAAGTAAAACAAAAATTGTACTCCTAGGCAAAATTTAGAAAACAAAAATCGCCGGTCATGATTCATTCTCCGAATCCGGACTTGGTGGACGACCTAAAGGTTTAAGGCTTCCTGGAAGAACCCAAGAAAAACCGCACTTTGATCCATCTTCGGTGTTTTGTGTCAACATCGTGCTCCTTGCTTGTTCGTGCACTTCTGGGTTATAAGGCTCGAATATGAGATAGTGCTTGTCTTCGTTAGACGGTTCATCATAAATGTGTTCTTGGCTGGATTTGGCTATATCTCTGACTTTACTCTTAAAGGCCTCTTGATTATTGGTGAACCTGTAACTTTTTTTAAGTCTAGTGTGCAGGAAATGAGCGCCACTCACAAATCGGCTGCTTCAGTGTTGACAGCGTGGGGGACACTGGCGCCTACATTGTAAAAAATCCAGTGTATATATTTCAAAACTTGCCAGATATGTTGTTCGGTCTTATTCCAAGTCGGAAACGCCTTTAAAAGGTGAACTTCATTAGTTTGTGGATGTATCACAGGATGGAATATTTCTGACAGAAACGTCACTTTCTACATGGAAAAATGAATATTAGAGACTAAGAATGAGTGATTAGGTAGACATACAGGGTGTTCACTATCAGGGAAATTTTCATCTAAAACTATATTAAAACGAAAAATCCCGTCTTCATAAGGGCCACTTCTGACAAAAATCACACCAAACCATACTTGAAATAATCAAATAAATAATAACGTGTAAACGAATCCATCTGGTTACTTACGAAATGGGTTTTCTCTGGACGGAATTACATAGACACCTTGTATATTCTCAGTCTGAATCATTTTGCTAAAAATAAATAAGTGAAACAAAGGTCAATTTGGCCAGGAACTTAATTACTATTCAGCCAAGATGACATACTCCTGATGGAACTTTTTGTACATTTTATTAAGATCTTCATTCTGACGACCGAATAAATTTTCCTTGTGTTCTACAGATATAACTTTTCTGAGTGATCCTTGTCGTGTAAACGTTTCCGCAGTGTCTTTCTGCAAAAAAAAGAAAATTTTCTGTTGGTGAATAACCTAGTTTTAATATGTCACCTTGGATGATCTCACAGCAGCGTGCATTGTTAATATTCTTCAATAATCAATTTTTTTGCTAACATTGTTGTAATGAATTACTGATAACACCCATTATCCGTTGTTATCATGGTTTATTGTTATATTATAGTAACAGACATCTGATAAAAATTAACCACATTGACAGATGACAACTCGATTTGACAGCGATGGCAGGTGTATTAAGGTGGGTAGGCAACCAAATAATCAAATTAGTGTAGTACTGTATGGATATAAAAAATTGGTACGAACACCCAGACAAAAAATATTGGAATACAACTTTTTGCAACATTGTTTATTTAAATAGGTACACATAGAAACATTGCTTATAATAATAATTTAAATTATTAATTTAAATATTAGGAGTAGATAATAAGTTCAGCACGATACTGACAATAACCATTTGGTTGAGAATTTATTTTATTGAATTAGATATACATATCATCATATTTGTAAGAACTGATCATCAATCATGTGGAAGTGTGACAACGAGAATGGCAACTCCATCAGCTACAGCGTTGTCCAGATGCGCGTTTAGTGTAATCACTAGATGTGCATTATTTTTTAAAGTATCGTCATCCAGAGGTTTCCCACTTGAAGAAATGGTCCATTGGGAGTTATTTTCGTTGGGTGTTAGAATAAAATTATCGGTATAACCAGCGAGTGTGACTTCGACGTATTTTGGGTCAGCAGCCTTGACAACAATAAGATCGCCAGTGACTTCAGGTGTACCGTCTTCACGTAAGTCATACTGAGCGTTGTAGGAGGCTTCCTCGAATAAGGGAACAGGTTCTTTTACGTGATCTGGAAGAAACAGAATGAGTGCAGCAGTTCCTACACCGGTTTCTCCAGATAAGACAGCTCCCAAAGTTATAACAAGTTCTGTGTACACGTTTAGGATGTCGTCGTCCAACTTGTTAATTACTGTTATATCCCACGATTTGGTGTTACTATTAAATTCTGCTTGAAAATTGTCTTCGTATTCTAAAAAGTTACGTCATTTTGAATACTGGAAGGGAATAGCTAATTGTGCTCTACTTACGACCTATCACTTTTACCACAGTGTCACTTGCTTGATCACTGACAATAGTTATGGGTACTACGTCTGGAATAGTTACAATATCTGGACCAGACTCGTTGGGGGTATAAGTAGCTTTATAGTAACTCTCTGAGAATAGTGGCACATTTCCCGTTTTTTCTGGCATTTTTATAGCTATAATTGTTGAAGAGGTATCGCTTGAATCACTTATGACAGCATTCAACACTATAAATATTTCTACATTTTGATCAATAATAGCTGGATTAAGAGGGTTTGCGACTTCTAATATACATACTCCTGTGGCTTCATAAATTATATTGAAATAGTTCGTATATGCTATAAGTAGTAATTAAGTATTTAATTTTGTGGTTACGTGTATGATCTAAGTACTTACGTCCTTCCATTCTAATTAAAACTAAACTTGGATCACTTGCGTCAATAGTAATCGTTTTTCCATCAGTAGACGTTACTGTATCAGAGTCTGAGTCATACTTGAACTCATATAGCGGACTTGAAAATTTAGGTGGCAGCGCAATAGCTGACGGTACTTCAATTACTACGGTAGCACTTGTTTTACGAGGAACTCCATCTATAGAAGCTTCAAGCGTAAGTACAATTTCGTTGTACGAATGAACATCATCGATATCGCCTGTTAACGTTATTGTATATGGACTAGCAACAGATAATTTAAACTTGTCTTCCAGTCCTACAATTTACCTGTTGTGTATCCAGATCGGTTAAGTGTGGTTTCTGTTCTTACCGGTTGGTGTGACCAAAACAACTGTTGTAGAATCTAAATAATTTCCACTGAGTTCAATCGCTTCGTTTATTTTGACAACATCTGGATCGTTGTCAACGTCGTAGCTACCCGTATAATATACTTGTGTGAAGGCTGCTGGAGTAACTTCTTTCGGAAGTTCTACAACTAGAGCAGCTGTACCCACTTCGGTAACTGCTGGATCCGTAGCCTGCAGAGTTAATACAATATCGACTTCACCTAGAATTGTTTTGAGATCCAAATTGTTCTTCAGACTAACGGTAACACTCTTGTCGTCGTTAAGTACAGCATTGAAAAACTGCGAATTTGCTGCAAATAATTAACATTAACCACGATCATAACAAATCAGAAGTGTAGCATGTGGTGTGTGTCGTGTGTTGGGTAAAAATGACTCGTATTTACTTCCTCCCAAAGTTACAGAAATATCTTCACTGATTCCGTCATTTAGGCTAATTTGGTCCCCATCAATCATGAACGTATCCACTCTATCTCCGTCTTTTTCTTCTCCCAAGACATAATTTCCTACATAGAATGTATTTTTAAATTGAGGAGGTATTCCGGCTTCTTTCGCAGGTAGATTTATTAAAACTGTAGCAAAACCATCGTAGACTAATACCAGACTTGCATCCAAAACCAGAAGAATATCTACTTCACTATCAATGACACTCTGCTCTAGGTTCTTTGCAATGATAATGCTGTAGGTGTCATCTTCATCGTTTCGGTTCACTTTGAAGTTGTCACTGTGTGCTACAACGTTTAGCTTCCATAAAAGCGTCCTGGTTCACCTAATTTTACTTACTTCCTTCCATAATGATGACTGCTGCCGCCATTTCAGCGTTAGTGACTCTAATAGTTTGTCCTTTCTGGTCTATAGAATGAGTGTCACCTTCGACAATGTACGAAAACACGAAAGAAGGGTTGTTAAATTTTAAAGTTTTGGGTATGTCGAGGTGCGGTAGTTTTAGTTCTATCACAGCGGTCTCTACATCGTCTGTCGATCCCTCAAGGGAAACTTGTAGGGTCAGTAGTACTTCTTGGTGCTGACTGATTACGTCGTCTCCTAATGGTTTTTTAACCGTAATTTGTGGATCAGCATCCAGAGTAAAGTCAAAATTTTCGGAATAAGCTACAAACAATAATAATTATTCTCTAGTATGTGTGTATTTGTTGTGCTTTTCCATTGAAAATAGTGGGTTGTTGTAACTAGGTATATCAAATCTTTAAGTAGGTAGGTACTCATGCACTATCAACAAAGACAACATTTATGTTTTCTGTTGCAGTTAATTGTATAGGTCCGTCAGACAATGTTACTGTGTTTTCATCTCCATTACTTTCGTATTCAGCACTGTAAATAGCGTTCAAAAATTTCGGGGTTGTTACTACTGCAGGTAGTTCTATAATCAAAGTCTCTGTAGTTACGATACTACTAGATGATCCCGGGATATGAGCTTGAAGACTTAGTATTAGATCTTCACCACTCTGTAATACATCGTCGGGTAGGTTTTGAATTACAGTCACCGTCCACTGATGATCATTACTAGGATCTTGCTGAAGTTCATAGTTATCCGTAACGGCGAACGAGAAACAAGAGTTGATGATACAGCGCTAGAAAAGTGTAAGCCTGTGTAGTTCCCGATCTGGTGTACTTATTTTAGAACGTAGTTGTCTTTGTGATTGTTCAGTAGTTATGTGAGTATAGTTATAGCGTACGGTTGTTTCCAAGTCGACTATATTGAAGTTGTCCAAATGTAGTGTGTGTTGATCCTCATAAAGTGTGCTAATTCTGATCATTTGATTGTGTCGTTGTTGGTGGTTTTTGTCCTCGCGCTGACTTGTTTTAGAACGCAGAGTTGTCTCTGTTGTATTATCACCACTCCACCTTCCGAGAAAGTAACATCCACTGCTTGGTCTTGCGGCGAATCAATAGTAATATTTTGTTCAATCATGGTAACTACGCCATTGTTGTTTTCGTCAACTTCCTACTTAGCTCTATAGTACGCTTTTGAAAATTTTGGTATTACAGTTTGAAGTGATATTATGAGGATGCTTAATCCAGTTTCGGTGGAATCTGGTTGATTTGCTTCTATGTTGAGAATAACGTCGTCTCCTTGAGTTATAACATCGTCGGGTAGATCTTTGACTAAAGTTACTTGACAAATGTGAGTACCATCATCACAAGAAATGCTAAAGCAATCGGAATCTGCGAAGAGCATTGATTGCACATGAATAAAAAAATGAGTGAAGTCATTTGTTTCAAGTGATTGTGGTATGTGTGAGTGTTTCGTGTGTAAATGTATGAAATTTTGTGTGTTTGTAAGACTCACTTTCACTGTCGAGAAAGTTAACAACGGTACCATCTCCACCAGCTACGTTTATAATGTCTGTCATTTCCAGGGTGTTTGGGTTGGTATCAGTTTTGTATGTTGCTGTGTAATAAGGTTTATCAAAGATTGGTGCCTCGGCAGCTGCGGGTAGTGCTATAATTAAAGTACTATAACCGGGTTCTACATCTGCGCCTGTAACTGTTGCGGATAACGTAAGGACGATATCCCCTCCTTCTGTTACTTGTTCCCAATATTTTAAGACGTCTACTGTCCACCCATCAGTGTCCTTAATTAAGGTGAAGTATCCAGTATCTGAAAAATTTTGAACAATATTTTTTTAGAGAAAAAAATTACTCTTGACTGTGTTCGTATGTGGCTGGAGTGTTACTGTGTGTGTAGTGTTTGTATTATTAAAACATCATCTTTTTTTACTGTTTCTAGTGGTTTGTTAAGTGTTGTATTCGTGTTCGTATGTTTATTGTTACAAGTGTTGCTCAACTTACTGTCAACTATAACAATATCCACAGTTTCATCCGTCTGTACTATATTTATAGGTCCGTTTGTTAACTCTACTGTATCTTTAACACCTGCCTCATCGACCTTATATTGTCCTCTGTAGTTAGCTTCTACAAATCTCGGTACTTCTAGAACCGGAGGCAATTTTACAATCACAACTCCGAATCCTTCATGCTCTTCTGAATTTTCGTCAGTAACTGTTGCGTGTAAAGTTAAAGTTATATCTTCTCCCTTTTTCAAGATCTCGTCCTGCAGTGGACTGTCTGCCTTCAAAGTCCATACACCGTCGACGTTTGCTATACTAAAGTGATCATCTACGAAAACGCAACAAAAAAGCATAGCGTATTGAAGCAAGCAAAATTGAAGAAACTCACCGCCCTCCAGCTTGACATCAAGATTGCTTGCCTGTTGTGTAATTGCAATTTCTTGTCCGGCGTCTAGTGCAAGAGAAGGATTTCCGTCACCATCCACTGAATATGTGGCTGTGTAGTAAGGTGCTGTAAATTTGGGAATAATGACGACGACATTACTTGGAAGCTTGACAATGATGGCCGATTCGCTACTTTCAGAACCTAGTTTTACCGTTAGTGTTAAAGTCATCATAGATTCGGATGCTGATTCCACTGGTGTATTTGTAACTGATATTGCGACTATGTTTGTGGTTTTGTCGTATTCAGCTTTGAAGTATGTTTCTAAAAAGTGAATTTGATAAGGAATTGCTAAAAGAAATTGTTGGTGTTGTACCATCACTTAGAGATACTTCGGTTTGGTCTGAGTCACTAGTAGTGACAACAATTTCTTTTGAAGGGTCGTCGGGTGTTATGGCGGGGTTGCCGCCATCATTAGAGTATGTAAATGCGTATATAAGCTCCGAAAATGTTGGAATGTCGGGTTGACTGAAGTCATTGTCCTTTTTAATTACGACTGTAGCTGTGCCAGTGTTAAACGGGTCAGTTTCATCCTAAAATTAGAGACATTTGTTTTAAATTTCTTAGAAAATATACAAAAATTAACATAAATTTAATAATTGCGTATTATAATTTATAAAACCATTTAAAGGATAATAAAGAGAAGTTATAATAAATCTTACAGTTGCGGTGATCATCAGTGTCAAATCTTTGTCGTATCTCACATATTGCTTAACTTTCAAAACTGCATGATACTGCCTGCTTGGCAAAGCTTTAAAGTCCAATGCAAAGTATTCTGGGGGATCAACAGTGAAGGTCATCTTTGTGTTGGAAAAGTCGATATCTTCAGCAATTATTTCTATATCGCCAAAATTTGTAAGATCTATGTTTGGTACCAGCGGCATTGGCATTACGTAGGTGTAGGTATCTTGTGTAAATGTGGGAGCATGATTATTGGTATCTTGTACATATAGTGCTATAGTCTAAAACATAATACAGTTTAATTTGTTTTGTTTTTTAGTGTCAGTCTGAAATTATTAAAAGGAAACTCACAAGTGGATAAGTTGTGCCGTCACATGTTATCGACAGGGTTCGAAAAATACAAAGCGAGGAGGCAGGTGCCTGGTTTCTTTGATCTTCTTCATAGTTATTTTTGAAATAATCATTGGTTTTTATACTCAAAGTTGAACCGTCGGCTGTAACATCTATGTATTTGGCGCCTTCTTCCTCGGTGTCCGCCTCCAGTTCTGTATATTTAGATTATACATATTAGATACATGTATGAACCGATCTTAATTTGTTATAAATTTTAACTTACGAAGATCTCCTCTATATGTAAATTCTAAGTTTAAAGAGCCAATGTCATCGATTGGGTCAGTAGCAATAATAGCAGTATTCCATGCTATAATATTACCAGGATCGTCTACATCGCATTTTGTAACTATAAAATTAAAAATGTATGGTAGATTAACTTGTTCTTGGAAACAATATCTACTGTTCTTATATAATGAAAAATTCCACTAGATGCTAATTACGAAGTTCGATAGAATGTTTTGTCTCAGATAATATCTCAAATTTCTGGATATCGACAATTTGGACTAGCCATATGGTTTTTCAAATACTAAAATTGTCTCCTCACTTTTGTATTTTTAATCCAATTGAACTGATTTAAAGTGATCTCACAATAAGGACTAGGAAATACAACAATTACCCTCAGAGCCCTCCCGATCATGTTCATCGGAACCTTCCGCTAATTAGTCCTATTGATTATATTCTTTTATTTCTAGTTATTGTGCGTATCTTGTATACAGATGTCGTTTATATTGTATTTCTAAGTTTATATTATAAGTTTTTCTACTTTATACTTTATCGCATTTTCTGACTAAAAATGAAAAATATATATGGTAGATTAACTTGTTTTTGGAAACAATATCTGCTGTTCTTGTACAATGAAAAGTTCCATTAGATGCTGAATTAAAGAAGTCAGTAAGTTGAATTTTTTACCTCGAATATTGTCTCAAATTTCTGAATATCGATAACTTAGCCTAGCTATAAGGTTTTCGAATACTGAAATTACCTTCTTACTTCTGTACTTTTAGTCCAATTAAATTGATTTAGAGTGACCTCAACATAATAAGAGTCTTCTCTTAATAGATACTACTGATTAGACTTTTTTATTGTTGTTTATAATGCGTATCTTGTGTAGACGCATCGTTTATACTGTATTTATACGTTTATATGTTACTCTAGTTTGTAAATAATTTTTTGTTTTCTAAGCTTCAATTTTCTCACTTAAAATCGCTATCTGTGGATCTTATTATTTCATTATATGACCTTATAGATCAAAATTATTTTCAAAATTTAACAAACATGTAAATTAAGTTAAACGCCCGTCACATTTAACAGAGACAGTCTTTGGACCCTAATTCCTGAAACTAAAATTACCTTACCTTGCGAGTAACACCTAGCAAGAACAAAACTAAAAATAAAAAGAGTAATTTTTCGTCTCATGATGCACAACACTTTAACTGCGCATCTACAAAAACAACTCTCTACTGAGTAAAACTAGAAATGGGTCGAAGTTTAAATACTTATTAATCTAATCGATAAAGATATTCATTTTTGAGTGGATAAAATAACTAAAACATAAATTACGACACTCTCGTAGTGAAATCAGATATAAGTATTTTTTCTATAGCAAACGTTAAAGACTGCTTTGTTCTATGCAGAACGAAAGGATAACTAAACACTTTAACCACAACAGGAGTTATTAAATAAAGGTTAATTCCAGTATGGTATTCTATGGTTCTGCGGCCATCTGGTTTTGAGGGTGGTGACTGCGTCCTTCGTGACGGCTGGTAATTCCTCGACAAAAGCAGAAGCATCAATAAAACATGCAGAATATTTTGTTGGAGAAAACGAAGACACTATTCTGTGTCCAGAAGATACTTTTTTTTGAGACACTTGGTAGATCCTGCATTTGTAAAACGTACTGGGAATTGAACAATCTATAATCGTCCAACTTGTCGTTTTTGAAAGGACCAAACTGGATTAAATTTAGAGACAGTTTTTCAAAGTAAAGGAATTTATTTGTGAGTAAAGATAATCATTATTCACATAAATTTGTTTTAACTTTTGCTTTTGTTTCAAGCAATAACTTTATTAATACGGTCCATTGACGACACTACTCGACAAGATTGACAATGATGACCGATTCGCTACTTTCAGAACCGAGGGTTACCGTTAGTATCAAAGTCATCACACAATCGGATACTGAGTCTACTGGTGTATCTGTAACCGAGATTGTGACTTTGTTTATTGTTTTGTCATAGTCAGCTTTGAAATATGTGTCTAAAAAGTGATTTTGATTAGGAATGGCTAAAATAAAGTTCTGGTGTTATACCATCACTTATAGTTACGTCAGTTTGCTCTGAGTCACTAGTAGTAACCACAATTTCTTGTGCGGGGTCGTCGGGTGTTATGACGGGGTTGCCGCCATCACTAGAGTAATTAAACGCGTACATAATCTCTGAAAATGTTGGAACTTCAGGTTGACTCAAGTCATTGTCCTTCTTAATTACGACTGTAGCTATGCCAGTGTTAAACGGGTCAGTTTCATCCTAAAATTACAAAAAAGTTTTCAAATTTTTTACAGAGTACAGAAAAATGTAGGTATATAAATTTAATATTTTCGTATTATAATTTACAAAACCATTTAAAGATTGATAAAGAGAAGTTATAATAAATCTTACAGTTGCGGTGATCGTCAGTGTCAAATCTTTGTCGTATCTCACAAATTGTGTAACCTTCAAAACTGCATGATACTGCCTGCTTGGCAAAGCTTTAAAGTCCAATGCAAAGTATTCTGGGGGATCAACAGTAAAGGTCAGCTTTGTGTTGGAAAAGTCGATATCTTCGGCAATTATTTCTACTTCCCCAAAATTTGTAAGATCTATGTTTGGTACCAGCGGCATCGGCATTACGTAGGTGTAGGTATCTTGTGTAAATGTGGGAGCATGATTGTTGGTGTCTTGTACATATAGTTGTATATTCTAAAACAAAATACAATTTAATTTGTTTTGTTTTTAATGTCAGCCAGAAATTATTAAAAGGGAACTTACAAGTGGATAAGTTGTGCCGTCACATGTTATCGACAGGGTTCGATAAATAACAAACGTGGAAGCAGGTGCCTGGTCTTTTTGATCTTCTTCATAATTATTTCTGAAATAATCATTGGTTTTTATACTCAAAGTTGAACCGTCGGCTGTAACATCTATGTATTTGGCCCCTTCTTCCTCGGTGTCCGCCACCACTTCTGTATATTTAGATATATTATGTATATGTATGAACGGATCCTAATTTGTTTTAAATTTTAACTTACGAAGATCTCCTCTATATGTAAATTGTACGTTTAAGCTGTCCGAGTCTTTGACTGGATAAAGTTCAATAATAGCACTATTCCAATCTAGAATACCTTCAGGGTCATCAATGTCGCATTTTGTATTAGCTAAAAATAAAAAAAAAAATGGATGATAGATTAACTTATTCTTGGAAACAATATCTCCTGTTCTTGTACAATGGAAGATGCTAATCATATGGTTTTTCAAATATTAAAATTACCTCCTTATTTTTGTATCTTTATTCCAATTGAATTGATTTAAAGTGGTCCCAAAACAAGAATCATAAAATATAACGACTACATTAAGGACTCTTTCGTTGAAATAGGCCAAAATTATTTTCAAATTTGAACAAACATGATGCCAATTGTCTTTAGACTCTAATTTCTGAAAGTGCTTTACCTTGAGAGGAGCATCTAGCAAGAAGAGCACTAAGAATAAAAAGGGTTATTTTTTGTTTCATGGTGCACAACACTTTAACTGAAGAACACACTCTAGACTGAGTAAAGCTAGGAAATGGGCCGAAGTTTAAATACTCTTTAATCTAATTGATTAAAAAAAAATAATAACTAATTTTTAATTAACTCTTTGTTTCTACTAGATAAAATCGAATTATCTACTATCAGAAACACAAATTGCAACACTACATAATGAAATCAGATCAGTCATATTTATTTTTAATGCATTTATTAGAAAATTCCACTCACTATTTTTTATCCGATTAAAAACAAGCATTTTCCTCATAACAACCAATGAAATAATTATTTTGGTGATAATATCCACTAGTGAAAATTACAGCGGATTTTTTTTTTGACAGCTCAACTGCGATGACTTGTGGTATTACTTACGAAAAAATTGGTCGATAGTTATTTCGACAAGACTTCCCTCGCCCCCGAAGTACAGTGCCACAAATACCGCTTCTTTGAAAAATTAAAAAAATTGATTTTGCGAATTTGTATTCAATAAAACAAACACAAGAGTATGTTATTTTATGAAATTTATTATAAACATTTTTGAGATGCCATGACATTGATAGGGAGACTGGGCAAATTTTCGTTACCGTTTTAATACAATCGGTCCGGTAGTTTTGGAGATTATCTGCCTAATAAAAACCTGAACAGACGACACACATATTGAGCCACGACACCTAATTTTTCGTACTGTATGGGTCATGAAATGTCAAGAAAACATAAAAGTAGCTAGTCGCCCCTCAATAGACCCGATTACAATACTTTCTTTGCTTACGCTCACGAAGTAAAAATAAAATTCACAAAATTAAATTTTATAATTTTTCGAACATTTTGTATTTCATACAACGTGTATTTCCACAACACCGAAAACACAAAATATTTGTCGACACGTTTCGCCAACCACGTTGGAATTATCTAAAAACTAAACTATGCATTTGTTCGACTGTACTTCAAGGGCGAGGGAAGGTGTGTATAAGTAACCCTGGACCACATTTTTGTTCAAAATTCAGTGATGCAACACAAGTTTGTTTATATATTTATATATATATAAAGTATGTGTGCGGGAAGTTCGACCTCCCGCATCCTGCTGAATGCGCGAAAGTCATCAAAAAAGGTCATGAGTGAAAAACATATTTTTACATCACGTTATCAACGGGAACAAAGCTATCTGAGCAATATGCGTAGTGTTAAAAATATTAATATTTATACGTCGGAAGAATGTCACGTAGACAGTTGTTTGATTTGAATGAGTTTATCGCCTCCAAACCGATGACTAAAATTATTGATAAACCTCAATTGAACAAAATATTCTGAATGTTGTTATTATAATTATATAATTCTTATCTTATCATTATTTTACTATTATAAAGACGAACGTATTCTCACATTTTCGATTCTTAATTTTATCAGTAATAAATTGACCGATTCATTAATTTTTTTGAGTCACCGTGTATAACCAAATCTAAAAAATATGAATGCATTGATAAGTTACAAGTGTAGTCTGATTTTAGTTTTGCACATTTTCAAAACAATTTATTCGGCAAAATTTAAGGAGATAAGTAAATATATTTTGATTAAACATTTATTATGCTTATCATAACTGTAAAAGATCTGCAAGATTTCAGAGCATTCGGTTTTCCAAATTCAAACTTAAATTGCAAAGTATTGTTTCATAATTTTGATTTTTTTTTTTTCTAAAAGTCTGGACGTTTTGGGTAAAAACATGTTATTTTATACAATTTAAAACCCATTTACTTTGTACAATTTTGAAGTGACTCCATTATATTATTGGTGGGGACGATTAGACAGATTTTGATTCGTTGATTGGTGGTGGTATATTTTCTTGGAAAAAATGAAGACATCAGAAGAAGATACAATTTTTTTTGAGATACTTGATAGATCCTGGATGTGTAAAAGGTACTGGAGAAGAACTGGGAGTTGAACAATCTACAATTGCCCAAGTTGTTGTTTTCGGAAGCACCAAACTGGATTAAATTTACAGACAAATAGTGGAAAACAATTTCTTACAGTAATAAAAATCTTTTTTATTTAAGTCGATATACGTAGCAACATTGTAAAAGGAAAACTTTATTAATACGGTCCATTGACGACGACACTACTCGACAAGATTGACAATGATGACCGATTCGCTACTTTCAGAACCGAGGGTTACTGTTAGTGTCAAAGTCATCACACATTCGGATACTGAATCCACTGGTGTATCTGTAACCGAGATTGTGACTTTGTTTGTTGTTTTGTCATAGTCAGCTTTGAAATATGTGTCTAAAAAGTGATTTTGATTAGGAATGGCTAAAATAAAGTTCTGGTGTTATACCATCACTTATAGTAACGTCAGTTTGCTCTGAGTCGCTAGTAGTAACCACAATTTTTTGTGCGGGGTCGTCGGGTGTTATGACGGGGTTGCCGCCATCACTAGAGTAATTAAACGCGTACATAATCTCTGAAAATGTTGGAACTTCAGGTTGACTCAAGTCATAGTCCTTCTTAATTACGACTGTAGCTGTGCCAGTGTTAAACGGGTCAGTTTCATCCTAAAATTACAAAAAAGTTTTCAAATTTTTTACAGAGTACAGAAAAATGTAGGTATATAAATTTAATATTTTCGTATTATAATTTACAAAACCATTTAAAGATTGATAAAGAGAAGTTATAATAAATCTTACAGTTGCGGTGATCGTCAGTGTCAAATCTTTGTCGTATCTCACAAATTGTGTAACCTTCAAAACTGCATGATACTGCCTGCTTGGCAAAGCTTTAAAGTCCAATGCAAAGTATTCTGGGGGATCAACAGTGAAGGTCATCTTTGTGTTGGAAAAGTCGATATCTTCGGCAATTATTTCTACTTCCCCAAAATTTGTAAGATCTATGTTTGGTACCAGCGGCATCGGCATTACGTAGGTGTAGGTATCTTGTGTAAATGTGGGAGCATGGTTGTTGGTGTCTTGTACATATAGTCCTATACTCTAAAAGATAATACAGTTTAATTTGTTTTATTCTTAGTGTCAGTCTGAAATTATTAAAAGGAAACTCACAAATTGATAAGTTGTGCCGTCACATGTTATCGACAGAGTTCGATAAATAGTAAACGAAGAGGCAGGTGCCTGATCTCTTTGATCTTCTTCATAATTATTTCTGAAATAATCATTGGTTTTTATACTCAAAGTTGAACCGTCGGCTGTAATATCTATGTATTTGGCCCCTTCTTCCTCGGTATCCGCCACCAGTTCTGTATATTTAGATTATACATATTATATACATGTATGAACCGATCTTAATTTGTTATAAATTTTAACTTACGAAGATCTCCTCTATATGTAAATTGTACGTTTACGCTGTCCGAATCTTTGACTGGATTAAGAGCAATAATACCACTAGTCCAATCTAGAATATATTCAGGGTCATCAATGTCGCATTTTGTATTAGCTAAAAATAAAAAAAAATGGATGATAGATTAACTTATTCTTGGAAACAATATCTGTGGTTCTTGTACAATGAAAGATGCTAATCATATGGTTTTTCAAATATTAAAATTACCTCCTTATTTTTGTATCTTTATTCCAATTGAATTGATTTAAAGTGGTCCCAAAACAAGAATCATAAAATATAACGACTACATTAAGGACTCTTTCGTTGAAATAGACCAAAATTATTTTCAAATTTGAACATACATGATACCAATTGTCTTTAGAAACTAGAGTCTTCTAGTTTCTAAAAGTGCTTTACCTTGAGAGGAGCATCTAGCAAGAAGAGCACTAAGAATAAAAAGGGTTATTTTTTGTTTCATGGTGCACAACACTTTAACTGAAGAACACACTCTAGACTGAGTAAAGCTAGGAAATGGGCCGAAGTTTAAATACTCTTTAATCTAATTGATTAAAAAAAAATAATAACTAATTTTTAATTAACTCTTTGTTTCTAGTAGATAAAATCAAATTATCTACTATCAGAAACACAAATTGCAACACTAAGTAATGAAATCAGATCAGTCATATTTATTTTTAATGCATTTATTAGAAAATTCCACTCGCTATTTTTTATCCGATTAAAAACAAGCATTTTCCTCATAACAACCAATGAAATAATTATTTTGGTGATAAAATCCACTAGTGAAAATTACAGCGGATTTTTTTTTGACAGCTCAACTGCGATGACTTGTGGTATTACTTACGAAAAAATTTTTCGAAAGTTATTTCGACAGGACTTCCCTCGCCCCCGAAATACTGTGCCACAAATACCGCTTCTTTGAAAAATTAAAAAAAATGATTTTGCGAATTTGTATTCAATTAAACAAACACAAGAGTTTACTATTTTATGAAATTTGTTATAAACATTTTTGAGATGCCATGACATTCATAGGGAGACTGGGCAAATTTTCGTTACCGTTTTAATACAATCGGTCCGGTAGTTTTGGAGATTATCTGCCTAATAAAAATCTGAACAGACGACACACAGATTGAGCCACGACACCTAATTTTTCGTACTCTATGGGTCATTAAATGTCAAGAAAACATAAAAGTAGCTAGTCGCCCCCCAAAAGACCCCATTACAATACTTTCTTTGCTTACGCTCAGGAAGTAAAAATAAAATTCGCAAAATTAAATTTTATAATTTTTCGAACATTTTGTATTTTATACAACGTGTATTTCCACAACACGGAAAACACAAAATATTTGTCGACACGTTTCGCCAACCACCTTGGAATTATCTAGACAAACCTAAACTATGCATTTGTTCGACTGTATTTCAAGGACGAGGGAAGGTGTGTATAAGTAACCCTAGACCACATTTTTGTTCAAAATTCAGTGATGCAACACAAATTGGTTTATATATTTATATATATAAAGTATGCGTGCGGGAAGTTCGACCTCCCGCATCCTGCTGAATGCGCGAAAGTCATCAAAAAAGGTCATGAGTGGAAAACATATTTTTACATCACATTATCAACGGGAACAAAGCTATCTGCCCAATATGCGTAGTGTTAAAAATATTAATACTTATACATCGGAAGAATGTCACGTAGACAGTTGTTTGATTTGAATGAGT